ATAAAAGGAGCGCCAAGCATAGTTACCGGGGACTCTCAAGAGAGAGTTCTCTAAGACCTGTTTGGTGCTCCAGGGTTGGACTTAAAATCCAGATTATGCCATAAGCCTACGATAGGATTCAAGCCCAGTAATGTTTGGTATATACGCCCAGGATTAGACTAGGATTTTATTCTCGGGATTAGTTAGACCAGGATTTTGAATCAGGAGTTTCCCAGAAAAACTATGACAAGCAAAAAAAATCCAGTCCTGAGGACCCAAAAACATGGCTTATTTTGTTTATGATATTCCTCTTACTCAGCCATTGGTCCCCCATTGCTTTTATCTTGAGAGATTTGCATCAGATTCCGATAGACGGATCAGTACGATACTAATTGATGAAAGTATAAATCCAAATCCTATCATGTTTGGCATACCCAATTTCCAGAGCCCGTACTTTAAAGATTTTGGACCTTGGTTTTCACGTCCGGACTTTAAGTCAAAATCCTGATCCAATCCTGGCGTACCGAACAGGAGGCACAGTGTGGGGGTTATCAAATCGAGTTGTTGCCATTTCCCACCAAAAAACGCCAACCCCACCGGGGGGGATAACGATACTACGATGCTGTATCATTTTGTGAAAGCCGGAAGGGTTATGCTCGATCACTGCTCGGTCTTTGCTTAGTCTAATGTGGAGATTTGGGAGTCTTCGAGCGCCCACGCTGGGTGGGTTGTCCTTTGTTCCAATCCAACTTCCACGGAATGATACTGCAATAAACTCTGCTACTCAACCAAAGTCGCCCAGAACCACAGAGCCGCAGTTTGGCCTAACTAACACTTACTTTGTTTGGCTTTTCATGTTGTGGCGGGGTTTCATTTTCGCACTTTCTAGGATCATACTAACCACGTTCGTCCGCACCCGAGTCTCGGTCTGGCTCTACCGTATGGAGGCCGGTAGACCGGTGACAAAAAAACATTCATCCTAAACCAAGGCAAGATAGGTTGGGCACCCAACGGGCTATCACTACGGACCACCCTTGAGCCACAAGTTGCCTGGCCGCGTTTCGGTAGGATGTTTAGAACCTCGGATGCTCCCAAAAGCCTAGTATAAGATATGCCTCCGCCAGGCGTGAAGGATCGAGGATGGTTGACGTCCTCATTTTCCTTCCTCCGATTTGAGTTCCACAGAACACAGCTGGTACTGTCTCATTACCACCCCCCTCCTCTGCCCGTTCTTGATAGTTTCGAAGACGTCCACTCTTTTATCACCTCCTCTCCCCTCCGGCCAAGGGAAAGCCTAGAGTTCTCAAGCGCTCAAGTTCTCCGCTCTTGCCGGGCCCCGATCTGTAAGCTTGATTCAACGATGGTTTATGGGTGCTATTTCTCTTTGATCGTTCTAGCATTGGGTTTTATGATCGCCCCAATAGCAGCGGTCTCAACAGATGATTTGCCACACTGCAATAACTAAAGAACAGGCAAAGGCCCTCAGAACATGGACAGTGGAGTCAGTCCGGGCTGTGACTTATGCTCTAGAAACCGATCCTGTCTTGGGAGATGCAGCGAAGTGAGTTCTCATTCAATAGCAAAATAGGTAAAGTGGAGAAACTAACCGACCTCAAGGGCAGGCACAGATATATGGGGGCAGAAGCCTAGAGTGTAGGGGAAGGAGTGGATTGCTGTGGTCCTGCAGAGGGCACAATTGGCTCTCAACGCCCAAAAGGCGTTCTTGAAGGGTAAAGGGGAGAAACTCGGGATTCTAGGCTTCCCCTAAGGGTGGGCAGAAGCGTTGAAGTCGGAAGATGAGAAGGTTCACAATGGTGAGAATCTAAGCCGTATACCTACCTCCTTAATGCCCAGTTTGAGTCACAAAAAAAAAAATACTGACAGTCTTTCTCCTTTTAGAGTATAAGAAATCGGTGTAAGTTACCCCCGAGATAAACTTCTGGTGTACCTCCCCTGACAGTAGTTTTAGGTTGGCAGCAGCCTTTGTCGGTGCGGGGCTGGAAGAAGGAGGTGCGAAAGATGCTGCCAAGTTAGTATGGGGTAGGCTACACTCATCCGACTCGGCCAATATTTCAAGTGCGTAAGTCATAACTTGAGTGCTAATATGTGAGTTAATAAAAACCAGAGCAGACTTTGCCCGGGAAAGGAACTGTCGAGTCCAACAGGCCAGGATCTCCCGACAGCGATTGCAAGGACTGAAGAACAAGGTTTTTTATTTTCTGGCTCTGGGATATTTGGCGCCAGAGTTTTCTGCATATATCATCTCCATCGAATTTATTGTTTCTCTTTCTCTCTCTCTCTTCTCTTCCTTCTCCTTCTCTTTCCAAGTATTATACAACTTATTGGCGTTATACGTTAGGGACCCGAGGCATAGGCTCTTCCATAGCAAAATCCTCTTGAAAACACATGTGGCAGAATATATCAAAAAGTATGATAGTTGAGGTTTTCTTCCGCCGTACGAATGATTGAAGCTGGAAGGTTTAGAATTCAGGGCACAGCTTCCCTCACTCCTCTGTTCTGAGGGCAACTGGTGGGTATAACGAACAAGTATCAAGAGCACTTGAGAGGACAACAGGGCCCAGCTTGGTAGCTTATTTTATTACGCCCCCTTTATTTTCTGCATTGTAGAATGGAGAAGATATGTGATTTTTTAAAAAAAAAACTCCCGGGAACAGCACAAATACTAATTCATTCGGGACACAATCGTGGTTGCTGTCCACCCAAGAGAGCCAAGCGCCATAGTGCTCATCGAATACCGGGTTTTAGAATAACCCGGTTGTATGATACCGCACACAAACCCTCGTAGACGTGGGGGTGCGCTTATAATATTACGACACTACCGAAGAACCACATCTTCCTCTCTACGAAATTTACACCACATGGAAGCCACCCCACTCGGCTCGAGCACCGACTAAGTTAGCAATTTTCGGCCCCATCTCCCCCAAATCTTCCTGATTATCATATCATTCCGACAGAACAGAACATATATTCTATAATACGTGACTACCGAAGGCCACCGGGGGTTCGCTGGAGGGGATCCCCTCCATCCCGCTGGCTTCGCGGTGACCTTCGCCGGGCGGGTGGCTACTGACCCGGTAGCTTACTGTAGGGGTAATGCCCCTGGATTATAATTCCGGTGAGATGTCATAGTCTATCACTCCCTATAGAGGTGCAGGGGAAGGGGTGGTGTGGTGAGGGGCCCCCGCATGTGACTGTCGGGAATGAGTGGTAAGGGGGAGGGAGTAGTTGTGGCCGTTCCTTGGCCTTGGCTGGAGTGGAAAAAGGTGAAATAAAGAATTCAATGTTATGTTATGATAATTGCACCGGAGCATATCCGGACTACGGGTGACTGTGGTATACAATTCTGTGGGAAGGGTGTTTTAGATTGTACCATCGGGGGCGCATAGTCGGTGACATATCTTCTAGATTTTCTGCTATTGCAATTATGATATGATATATATATATATATCGTTAAATCCGTAGTATGGTTTCAGGTATATGGATGGTAAACCTTCTCAAGTGTACACTGTTGCATACGGGAAGGCAGATAAAAATCCAAAACAAAAACGGAAAAACAAAAAAGTAAACTAAGATACTAAATACTACCCTACAGGTAATGGTCAAAGTAAATATGTATCTCTCCTTACGAAAGCTTTTCACGGACCCACCCAGTCTCCGGCCACTGAGACCGGTTTTGATAGTCAAACTGCATCCTTCGCTGTTACTACTTGAGCACCTGACAACAGCGCATGCTCGCGTCTGGTAATAGTTGCTTGCTCGCATCATGAACAGGCTCTTGTGTGGAAGGCGGGGCTAAGAGAGAAGCTAATGCTGGTATGTTTTTGCGACGGCAGCAAGATGCCACCCAGCGTTGGTAAGGAGCCGGCCAAAATTGCACTCCCGGCCATACAAGGGACATGCATTAAGCGATTGCACGGGCTGGGGAACACGGGAAGCAGTAGAAGTGAGAAAGAAAGATAAGCTGAACATGAGCGAGTAGTATGATACTGTATTTACTGATGGAATTTACCATGTCAAGCCCCTAATTTTTTCATGGAAAAGGGAGCAGGTCTACCATCCTCAACAGGCAGCAACTTCTTTGTGGTCATAAAGTTTAACCCTACCACTTATGCCAACTCAAGCAATATGCTCAAGTGGTTAGATAAACAACTTGTTCCTGTCCTCAATGGTCAGCCAATGCTGCTCACGATTGACCTATTCTCTAGCTGAAACAATGGAAGAGGTATTAGATACCTTCTGGGCTAATGATATTACACTAAGTGTAATTCTTGGAGGCTGCACTAGCCTAATACTACCCCTCAATGTTTCCATTAATCAGCTATTCAAAGACCTACTCAAGGTTAGTTATTCTCTATTCAAATATACTCTTAAAGCAGAAAAGAGGAGAGAACTTATCTGATAATTAACTTTGTTATAGGATTTACTGGAGTAGTATCTTGGGGGAATTGAGGAGTAGCAAGAAAGGATTCTGGAAGGAGGGAGGAGACTGATCAGAAGTATGGTAGGTTGACAGCAGGTGGTTATTACCTGAACAATAGGTGAGATCTGGGAGCACTTTTCAGCAGAGAAGGAAGAGGTAGTTCAGCAGGCTTTTTAGGTGGCCAGTCTCTCACCCTCAATTGATGGAGGCAAGGATAACAACTTATCTATTGGAGGGTTAGCACATGATTTCCTAGTTGAGGAGCTAAAGAAATGGGGGAGGGGTGGAATTCAGGGGGGGAAGCCAGATGTTAAGCTTGTGGAAGAAGTGATTGGCTTGCATGATAAAAAAGAGGTTGACAACTTTGAGGAAGAAATAGATTTCCAATATGAATAGCTGCCAAGAATTAGTGAAACTCATACTGACTGATGTACAGTACATGATGTGATCTTGGTAAAACATACTCTAATTTAACTGCTTAACATACCTTTCAATTATTTAAGTTTTTACAGTATTATGAAAATTGTGATTGAAAAGAGGATCCTGATATTATGTAGATAGCTTAGAGATTCATGATGATGATTATCATATCGGTTTTGCACAGAGTGACAAGTAATATTACCCAATTCTTATTTTCTATCCATGCTATCGCAGTAAAGTTAAATACAGGCACTATGGGTAGAAATTGCTATATCTTAGGCGTCCAACCTCAACTCGACCCTATGGATATTATCATACCTCCTATATTGTATCCAAGTCTCTGGTATCCCATACTCCCTCATTTGTCGTGACAAATTCAAAATCGCAAGCTAAGAGCTCGCGTCTCCATTTGATCCCAGCGCTGCTCACGTCAGGGATAGTAAGTGGACTTCACGAGATATGGATATAATATTACGGTAATTTTTTTTAACGAGCAACACCTAGTCACATGAAGATCTTGGGAAAGGAAAAAAACTTTGTTCTGATAATTACTGACCCCGCTTCCCCCCCTCCCGCTCTCCAATTCTCCAGTCCCCCCTGCTTCGCGCTCTATCCATGCTTCATTACGGGCACACAAGAGGAATATGGCAGAAGATAGATATTAGTACAAACAATCTGATTACACGTTTTAAAACACGTGCTTTAGCTTCTCATATTTCACTGCTCATATTATATAGGCTCTTCGATATCCTCGTACAGTATAGTTTAGTTAATTTCCACAGGCCGAGGCTCGTATCGTGCACTGAAGGATAATATATGATACCACAATCCCATGTTATCAACCAGGGTGCCTCTGGTGAAGCCAAAAGCCATCCAACAACCTATGGATAATATTGGACAATAGACGATACTGCCGTGCCCATCTCCCATCTCACAGCAGTCTAATTCTGCTCTACTCATCCTGGCTGTGGCAGAGTTCGGATGATCCGTTTTTTTCCTAACTATTTTATGGATTATGGGAATGAACGCTAGATATAAATCCGTTCATTTTTACTCCTCTCCTCGCTAATAAGATAGCTTAACTAGTATCGGGTTTGCACAAATGCGTGCACTTAGGTAACAACACCAAACGTCAAATCCCAAATTTCCAATCGGAAGGTCCCTGCAATATTACCAATCCTCATTCATCTAAGCTATCCATCCCATCTATTGCACCAATCCAGTCCTCCGGTTTAACCCCCGCACCCCCCCCCCTCTAAGCGGGTTGGCCAATATCCTCCCCACCCTCCGCATCCACATACACCCCATCCTCATCCTCATCTTCAATTTGCCCCCTCTCACCCGCGCGATACGGCATTACAAGCTGTCTGGGAATCTCCGTGGACCCCATACACAGCACGACATACTCTCCCCCAGGATAAATCAGGCTTTCCAGATAGGTCTTGTGCACCAAGGAGCTGTCCCTCAAGTCGACTAGGACCCATCCCCCCGGGGAGGGCATGCCGATGCCGAAGGTGGTGGTTGAGGCCATGTAGGCTCTCTTCCTTTTAACCGTGGCGTGGGTTTGCTGGATCCCTTTCAGGATTTGGTCGATTTCATTGGCGAGGTGCTGTGGAGGGAATCTGTTAGTGTGAGAAAGAAGACTGGGAGGAGGAGAGGAAGGAGCCTACGGCTTTACGCTGGTATGGTATTTTCCAACACATCTCATGTGTTGGTAGGTATAGCTTTATCGGTTCTGTGTTCGGACTCGTTAGTTTACCATTCTACTACCAACTCCCTCGCCATCCCCCCTTCACCATTACGTTATGAAAAGAAAAAAAGTGGGGGAAAAAAAAATACCTTTTGGCTGGGAACTAAAGTTAGCGATAATCTTCGAGTATATATCCATCATTGTCATCATTGTTGTGAGAATTATGTCCATTTCTTCTATTCTTCAGATAACGCCCTTTGACTCGTTTTATGTTAGAATCCAACGGCTAAGGACCCCTACTACAAGTTACTCAGGGGCTAACTTAGGCCGGAGGAGAGGGCACAGCCTTGTTGGAAACTACGTTATTCCTTTCCTATCCGGCGATGAGGCTGTGTCGGTCATGTGACACAGCCACATGACAGAGTATTATACTAGTGTACTGTATTCTAGCATATTCTTTAGATTTCCTTGGTATGAGGCTGTGCTCATGTAACAATGAAGGGTATATATGGGGGTATCTCCAGCCTTCCCGTTGAAAGAGTGCACAAGCTTGGATAATCTAAAAAGTCTTCAAGATATATTCTGCCTATCATCGTTACTTCGCTATCACTGCAGTTAGTACAATAGATACAATATTTCTCAGGCCTGACAAACTGCAAACAAGCCACGGTAATGGCTACGGGTCATTACAGCCTCTCTCTCAAGAAATCCTTGTACAGTACACACATACGTTCAATGGGGTTCTAAGTTATAGTATCATAGATTCCTAACTTTTTTCCCTGTTCCCCATTCCCTTTATTTATTTTTTCTCCCGGTGCAGGGGGTTATGGTGAAAATGTTAGGCTTACCAGGCAGGAACACTCGGGTAAAATAAAAAAGATATGCCTATCATACAGTGGGCTAAATAATATATTTGACCTTCAGCCCTACAAGGTCCGCTTTCGCCCTGGCGGCTAAAAAAGCACATCTCGGAGCCCACGATATGCTATTACAACTCCTACTGGAGGCGGAAATCAAAAACTGAGGGATCAAATCTTCCCCGGGTCACACAGATCAACCGTTGCAGGGATATTCTGAGCGATGATAGTCACTTGCACTACCCGTGACTCCCTGGCACTCGCCGACACGACTGACGTTGCATAATAATATTATGATATTATACGATATGATAACCCCCGAACTCTTGAGGCTCTTTTTGCCCTTCGAAAAACTAACTGTTAATGATATATCGAGTGATGATCTGTGCAAGCACTTTCTTGGGATATATCGTATGGTACGACAAAAGCATCCGTCCCACCTATAACCATTGCGAGCCTTCATCCCTTCTCTTTCTTTGCCCCCCTTCCCCTCTCGAAATATCCTCTCCTTTACTCGTAGGGGGCCGCAAAGCTACATTAAATCCATCTTTACACTTTTAGGCCTCCACTCCCCTCCTGCATGAAGCTACAACCCTAAACCTATTCAATTTTAGCCCGCAGCCTGCCCGCAGGCGGAGGGGCTCTTGTTGGGCTGGTTTGCCATTCTTTCGAGCTCTGGGAAGGAGGGATGTGTTTGCTGTAAAGGGTCTGCTGTACACTACTCCACTGATGGTATGTTAGGCTTTCTCTAATGAGATTCTTCTTCATTTGCATAGGAGTCCTTTATGTTAATAGCGAAAAGGTATCAGTCGTAGTACTGTATCATACAGTACACCGTAGCGATGCCTGCGGCTGTCCATGAGGGGTTTTTATCTATGATAGCATCCACCCCTCGCTTTGGAGTTAGGGTAGGGTTTGGGCTCGAAAAGGGCCTGAGGACGACGGAGGAAGACGATCGTCAGGGATTAACAGGGCAACCAAGCGTCCTAACCCCCATTGGAATCTCTCACCGCCTCCACTCTACCAATGGTTCCCATGATATCATACAATCTAACATATTCAATACCTTATTCCAACTTGCTTCTTATTTTTGTCACCCAAAGATAAGCTCCCTCGGAGCACTTGTCATGAAGTCAGACAGCCCTTTGCCTGTCAGCCAAGTATCCGAAGATCGCCTCTTTGGACTCACTACTCAGTCACCAAAGTATACAGGAACCCTCTCGTAGGACGAGATATGATGCGAGTTTTTTCTCTTTGGCGGGCCAATGCGGGTTGAGTCTCAAGTCGTAAGCTAAACCAACCTGACCAATGGCCCAAACCCTCCAAGGTCATTGGAGGATTCATAGGATCTTTTGATATCTCCTTGCAAGTCACTTCCGCTGATCTCACCTCTTCATAGCATTTATCATACTTTACTTCGCCCTATCACTTTTTGTATCATACGACTGGGTCAAGTCCTCCTTTCTTAGGGTCCGCTCTTGGTTTTCATTCCCCCTCCTCTTGCCGATCCAAGAGTCTCCCACCAGATCCTGGTACACGTGCTACTGCCTCAACCGGAGGAGGAAAATCTATTTTAATTTTTTTCCAACCCCCCCCCGGATGGTTGGAGATTTTTCGCAATGTGAAGCGAAAATCCCGAAAGCCTGGATTACGATGGCCAATCGCTGCAAGCCCTACGCACCTGTGCAGCCGCTGTTCAAGCCTTGCGTATACGAAACTAATAGGGCGAATGCAGCTTTGCGGCCAAGATACCAAAGTTCTCAACATGACATGTGGGCAGTCATGGTGCTCATCCCTAAAACCCTTTTTCAATGCGATCCCCTGTACAGTACCTTGAGATGGCGCAAGTTGTTGACGGGGAGTAACCGCTGAGCTATGATACACAATTAATAACAGATAACGAGTGATACATGATGAAGCAGATACCGGTTTGGACTCTCTCGGAAGTACCATCTCCCAGTAATTGGTCCATCATGCTTTTTTAGCCACGGCTAAGCACCAACAACTACAATATGAATCCCTAGTTCTAATCGCATTTGGGTGCGGTACTATAAAGGGCGAACCTAGGTCTGCACTCAGCGCGTTAGATTAAGCTTGATGTAAATAAATGGCCTAATGGCGTAACGTACTTGAGGGCATATCGAGAAATACAGCTCACCGAAAATTTTGGTAAGCGACACTATAACTGTGCTGTACTGTACTCGGTACGATACAACGAGATGGCTAAAAAACCCTGCACACTCACCAAAATTTTCGCTGTCCTGTATTTTTCGGTATGCCCTCAAGTATTGTACGAGTACGTTAACTTTTTTTCTATTTTGCATCCCCATCTGATCCCAGCCCCACAAACTTGTGGGTGAAGCACGTGATAATTTACATGCGGAATCATAAGACTCATCATGGTGATGGACCCACACAGATTGTGTTTCTCAACCACCGCTTGCTCCTCTCATCAACCCTTATGAAAGCCTCGCAACCTTGGCCCACGAACACAGGCCTTCTGGCAGCGGAGATGCATTAGAGATGTCTTCACTGCCTCGGCACTTGGAAAATCTCTCTTGAAAATGATAGTGCTGCACCAGGCTAACACGCTACTGGGGCAGCCTAGGACTCTTCTCGACAATCGAGCGGGGGGGTTCGCGATCCCTGCCCAGCTGATTCAAACAAACAAACACCAGACAAAATACCATACGCTCACCACGAAAACGAGAAAACCCAAAAAAGCTCGGGTGCTCCTAAGTTCCCCGCCCGAGGTTGATAAGCGCTTCTGGGTGGCTTTGTCAACAGCCTTCCGATCTCGGTCAAGATCAACCCTGGAAACCCCACGGCTGAACAACACTACCGGTACTTGTACTCGTACAGTCCGGTACTCGAGCAGAGCAGGACCATCAAAAAAGAAAAGAAAGAATTTAAGGGCTGGATGCCGCTACCTGCCTGCACCTACGGTAAATATTATCCCAATTCGGCTCCCCAAGCTATTTTTGATTGGGTTTGGACATGTCTGGTTATTTTGAGTCATCGCTCCGCACTTCTAGAGTAGTCGCTGCGCTAGCCCCGATCATCTACTGGTTCTCTCAGAGGGCTCAGAGGGTGCTATCTTCCACCGTTCACAACCATTTGTTTCTTCTGAAAGGAATACCGAACACGTAGCTATAAATTGAGACCGACGATCAGCGAGGGTATTATGAAATGCTATGAAAGGAGCACCCTGCAGAGCAAGGCTTGACGGACCCGTTTTAACTCAGCGGCTATGTAACCTTGGATCTCAAGTGCGATGGGAGCACATGCCACGTGTGTAGTAGCATCTCGGCGGCATCCTCACGAAGCGAGATGTGATACCGGTATTATCGCACATTGGCCAACCAAACAGGTAAATCCTCGACCCAGTTCCCGGTTCGTATGAACATAAAGACACCACCCGCGAAGTTCATCATTAATCATCAGGTGATTGGGAGCGTCACCGCAAATGCCCCCGAATGATCTGTGCGTTGGCTTGATCTATTGGAAACTGGCCTGGACCGTGAACAAGATAAGCATGTTTACTCAAGCATGATATTTGAGTATGAGAGTTCCACGACGATCACTCAAAATCCCGTGCGACTGACACATTCGACTGTTCAAAAAGTAGAATTCATGAGCTCCCTTAAACCCCGAAACCAACACCGTCACCACGTGGATCCTTAGCTTTACCAATACACTTACTAAATCACTCGGACCAGATTTTGAAACGAAGAAGGAAAAAAAAAAAAGCTAGGAGGGTTTGATCGATCCGCAGCACTATGCATATCGTGTGGATGTTTTCCCATTTTCTCATTTGGCCGTGCTGTACCGCACCCCAGATTCTTGCTAGCATAGGCCCGGGTGAGTAGCATTTTCGAGCAGCCAACAAGGCAGCAGCGCATCGGAGCCGACCCGGCCATTAGCTATTATATTACCCTAGCGAGATGGATAATTGTGGGGGACTTGTTAGTGAAAATGGAGGTACGGTGAGTTAATCGAACTCGATCGCGGAATGGTACTGTAAATTATAGCAGGAGGGGGGGATTTCAACTAATAATAATAGGCTGGCGAAGCTACTCTAGACTACCGCCCATCATTTCCGCATTCGGTCAGTCATGAACAACTGGCAAGCCCTGCGCGAATTCAAATGGCAGCCTGACTGCTGGGGGCCGGCAGTGTATCTGACGATAATTGAGAGAGAAAGGGAGAGAGATGAAGAATATTCACACAGGGAAAAGCTGTATCCGAGGACTCCGTTTCTGCGCGGGGTTATTGGAGCCCGTGGGTGGAACTCCCGTGCTTAGCGAAAGGCAAACTTTGATCGAAAGGATACAGGTCTGTCTCATCTCCCCAAGTTGCCGGTGCGTGACCCCGTTCGCCTACCGTACCAGGTTCAAGCGAGTGTTTCCCTGAGTCACATATCATTCCCATTATACGTACCGTATTCCTATCGTGCAGTCCTCGTATAACCCAATAGGAAAACGGATTGAGCGATAATTAAATTTACACTGTGGTTGTATGATATGCTTTGGGGGAACCCCGTCACTGTCCTAAAAAGGATACGGTCCGGTGAAAGAACAAATGGATAATGGGGGGGGGAGCATTCATGATCTCTGCTCTCAGGCGCCGGAACAGGTGAGGGGAGAGAGAGTCTGTTGAAAGAAGAAAAAACGACACTATTCTTGCAGGCCAGCCATCCCCTTTCCTCATTCGCGGTCCCACAATTGTGGTAGATGCGGCTCAAGGCCCCCCCAACTGTCATCCCGAAAGAGGGTAAGGATAGGGATGAGGGAAACATCAAGTTTAGGGTGTGGTGTGATTTTCTTGACCGCTATCATAGTCTATCGATAGCATAGGACAAGACAGGACACCTTTGCGAAAGCCTATTAATATCATATTATTATTATGATATCATAACTCCACAACGGGAACTTGCGTGGGGAGCGCCCGCTAAGCCCCGCTGCTCGAGTATAGATACCCGAGTACAGCGCTACCGGTTATGACACTCACTCATACGCGGCTCACATTTGGCTGGGTGGCTAGACGAGACGACCCCAGCTGAAAATCATCCGTCGCCGCCCAACCTGATTGGACGGTCGAGCTGTTATGCTGATCGCTTAGGGGCTAGAGCTCTCCGGGTCCAATCCCAAGCATTCGGATCTACTCGAGTATGGGAATCCCTGCGTATTCACAACCACCAACCAGTCTCCTTCCCACTCATCCCACTTCCATCACCCATCATACCCTTGGGTCGGCCTACGATATTATCAACCAGATACCGGTACTCTTTCACATCCGATTCTACATCCTGCCACTCCTGAGCCGCCCATCAATCGAGCCATCCCTCTCCTCACAATCACTGGCAAGGCATCTCTGATCTCGTCACATTGCGATTGCCAGCCGAGATATCTCCTCCCCTCTTGTTTCGCCTTTTTTCCTTTCCTCTTTTTTTTTTTTCTTTCCCTTTTTCCTTTTTCCCTTTTCGCGAATCTGTCCTTGGCAACGTACCAGTATTCCCCCCGGCCGTCGACCAGGAAAAGATTTCCCGCTCCAGAGCCAGTTGCTATCGTACTCTTTTCACGGAACCTCTTGCTTTGCCCCTCTACGTGCGTACCGTATCTAACTTTATCCCACCCACAAAGTCCTCAAGGCTGAGAGATGAAAAATAGATTAAAATTAAGACCCCCGTGCTCCATCGGCATTACCGGCCCACCAATATTTCCATCCTCCGCACTCCCACTTATCCACTCAGTCTAACCTACCGCCGATGTCGATCACTCCCCCTTTTGGTCGATGGCTATCAACAACACATAGCATGAGCCCCCGTGCCGTTTCTGGTTTCCATTACGCATAATGGCAAAAGGTGGGAGAGGTCGATACATACAGTAAGGCTTTCTGGGAAATAGAGGCCTCTGTTCCTATGTGGTTTTCACCGCTACACACCCTCTAACGGAGATGTAGGGCGAATTTCAGCCGAGTGAGCCCCAGAGGCCCAAATTTCCTAGGCGAATCACAAACCTGAGTCCGTTATCTCTTGGACCCCTCGTCTCGAACTGCTCCTATACCGGGACCAAGTCTATAAAGCTGCTCCCACCGCGCCCACTCCTCACTTATTTGAGGATCATCCATTCCGGAAAACCATCCATCACTCACCATTCCCCGCGCGCTTATAAAGACATATTGGATAATCCATCTCAATAATGACCCACAAGTCTTCACACTCGATGGCCTCGCACTCCGCAAGGAGACCGGGTACTCGTACTAGACCTTCATCATCACCGCCTCCATCACCAAGCACACCCCCTAGCAACTACTCCCTTTCTATACAACATGCACCTTCTACTCAAGGCTACATCACTTCTGGTCCCCCTTTTGAAATCAGTCGGACAGTCAATATCACCGTTGAGGTGTCATCATCATCCTCAACTCCTGCATATAATGGCTACGACGTTAGGAATTACCCTCCGGTCACCACCACCTGTTACTCAACTGAGCCCTCCTCCCCCTCGGCTTCGGTAAGCTCATACCAGTACGGCATGTACGAATCAATATCGAGTTTTCCCGACTATTCCAATCCACCGTCATCCGCGGACACCACTGCCCCACCATCATCACCGTTTCAAGGGTACACCCCATCCACAAGTAGTGCCGCGTCTACAAACTACAGCTACTACGCCTCGGGAGGGTACGCCCCAGAGCACTGCGGGAGCCAGTCTGAATACTCGGGCAATCAATCCCAAGGTCAGTGACTATGCCTGTCATTCTTGCAAGATCCCCCACTAACTGTCAAAGAAAACCAGACGACGAGGAGGAGGCAGAGTACCAGGTCCCACAGGAGCACTCCCCACCGCGGGTGATGCTCGAAAGATTCCTTACGGTAGACTCTGGGATGGACTCGTTAGCGTATCTAGCTAGGATCGCTATTCGGTGTGGGGATGTCAGGGATGGGGAAGTGCCCTTATTACCGTTTCGGGGGCGGTGAAAGTACTTATTTCTTGTTTCCTATTTTTCTTTGCGTTCTTCGCTTTTCTCCTTCGTTTTGATATGGCGTTGGGGGTCTCGGGTAACCCCATTTCACTTCACCTTCCGTTTCCTTGTCTCATTTCTAACTCCGGGGGAGTCTGGGTTTTTGGTATCTCCTTCATGTACTGTAACTATCTTTATTGAGCTCTCCTTTTCCTCTTTTATTTTTGGGAGCATAAGGTCTTTTTTTACTCTTCCATTTTTAGATTTTTAGCGAGAAGAGAGGTTTGCTCCCAAAAAAGAGAGTCGACCGTACCTACACCTCCTTATTTACTGGCGCACAGTCCTTAATCGCTAGGAGGCCGAAAGGTGCAAGTATATCCCGGGTTTTACGCAGTAAATCTCAGAACGTTCCGGACACCAGGATTGGTACGGAACGCTGCAAGTGAAGCTTAGAAGCAAGTTGACAAAGAGGGCAGAGGAGGCTTGGCCATGGTTGCGCTTCGCCGGTATGATATCTATAAGGGGAGGGTAATTTATCTACCCCCCGTGCCCAGTTGGGAAGGAGCAAGCTCATTCACACCCAATACTCGAGTATAGATAGAGGATTTTGGCCCCGCCGTTGAATCCCTTTTTCTTTGTCGATTTACCAAACGGGGAGTGACATTAAGGCCCGCCCTCCAGTAAATTCAAGGAAATATCATTATCATAAGATCATACCCAGTAGCCAATAGGATCCTGAGCCAAAGGAGCTAATAATTGCTATTATCTATCGAAGCACCCGGCCCCGGGGCAGGGAGGTCCAAGGTTGACAAACTTTTGTCTGAGAAGTTTCGACAAGAAACGGTGGTCGAACCGCGGGGGCCAAGCTCCCCTGATACTGGTATGGTGCCGTAGGAGGAGGAGGATGCGGATAGGAGGGCAGGCATGCATGTCTCACAGGCAGGCCAGCAAAAAGCGGAGGATTGCGACAAGAACCTGAAGGTTTCACTTTGTTGGGTTCCCCGGGGGGGGGGTAGGATTGTTCGTGATTAGGCAAAGTTTTTCCCCGAGACGCGCTTCGATGGATCGATAGATGGGCAAATTATCATATGTGATTTATAATTGTAATGCAATGCCATACTGAACAGTACCACGGTTGCGAGTGTTTGGGAGGTATTGCGACATCCTAACACAAAGTGTTTCAGCAATAATTATTAAAGACCCCTCTTCCGGAGGAAGAAATATTACAGGATTCTATCATTGATTGCGGGAGTACTGCACCCGGGTACTAGCTAACGTAAAGTAGAAAGTGTAAACCATCCCTAAACCCAGGTGAAGAATTCTCTGATTAGCGCAAGATATTTGAGTAGAGTGTGGGCTTATGAGAGATTCCTCTGAGTTAGAGCGCGGTGGCGCTGTACTGTACGTGCCGTATTTAACTTATGCTCCCCGTAGCTGCCACCGTTTTTACCCCGAGCGGGGGGGCTGCGGTTACGCTCGCCGACTCCAGTGGGACAATGCACACTTTCTGAATTGGCGAGCACGGTATGGTCAAGGGTCCACATAGGGTACGGAGCCTGCGTACCGTAAACAACTAGTTTTGGATGACAGTATGATAGTCTCCTTCCTTCCTTCCTTCCTTGCGCTGATTCCTCGTAGGTGAGGGTAGGCTAATATTAGCGGGCGAGAACGCACTTCGACTCGAGTGCAGTACGGGTATGATGAAAAGTGTGAGCGGATGATCGACGCCAGAAACGCCCCGCCAAAAAAAGCTAGGGTAGCATAAGGCTTTCCGCCGTCAAGGGGGCGGCTACCCGGTTGGTGGATTGATTACTCGAGCAGCGATGCAGCTCAGGATCAAATAGCCGATATTGCCAAGCCCACACGATTTTTGGCCACACTCGGGCGCCAAGGTGACCTGGCCGTGGTCGTAGTCGATGCAGCTTTGTTCCTCACAGCTCGCTGTCGCTTCTTCGCCCTCACACGCACCGGCTTTTTTTTTTTTTGAGCTGCTTCCTTTCAAAAGTGAGGACCAGTTCTCGGATCCTGTCATACCTTTCCCCCTTCGAACCTTTTACGAGTAGAAGAGTACGGAGAGAGCAGCGTCACCGGTAACCCTGGTGCTCTCCTCTTCGGTTGTGGTTATTTCCCCTTTTTCTTCTCCTCGCCTTGGCCTTGGTGTTGAATTCCCCTATTGTTATTTGGATTTTCGCTATTTTCGGAAAAATAAAAACTCCAGCCTCGACTCACCGAGCTTGAGCCTCATCCTCTTCCAATCCGTGACCTGGGGCGTGCTCACGTCATCCTTCATCCCATCCCTCGACACTTTCCCTTCCCCCCCTTTCTCGCCCTCTCCCCCTTCTCGCGCCATCGAAATCCCCCCTTTCCGTTTTTTCATCTTTTTCACGGCCCCTTGTCTCTCCCTCTCTGTGTCTCTCCCTATCCTTTTCCCTTGCTCTCTCGCTCCTCATTATTAATAATTTTTCAATCTTTCAATTCTTCCCTCTCTCCCATCTCTATCAAACTCGCAGGGTTCTTTTTCAAACAAACCATTTCCTCATTCGTTCCTCCAACCCCGAACACATAGACTCTTCCTTCCTTTCCTTCTTTTTTTTCTTTTTTTCCTTTTCTTTTTACCCCAAGAATAGCCCTGTTGAGCCCCATGGCTTTCGTGCCCCCCACTACCCCGGCGCACCACCAGCACCAGCACCACCAAGTGCAGCAGAACCAGCATCAGGGCATATACGCTTCTGGTGGTGCCTCGTCGAATACTTCCTTCAATACCCCTCCTTCACAGATTATGTCAGGAGCGGGTGTGATACAGCAGCTGGACAAGAGCGGATTACTACTAGGGAGGAAGAGAGCATTGGATGGTGGGAGTATCGAGGATACGGAAGGGGCCGCTTACAGGCCTGCGGCTTATAGGACTGAAGGTTTGTTCAAGTTTTCGGGTGATTTTTTCAATTCTTATTTTTGATAATTTTTTCCCCTTGGGTTGGTGATTTTTTTTACTGGACGGATTTTTCTTGCTTTATTCTAGTGCTCCTGGGTTCTTTGGCCACTGCCGGTTGAGGTTGATAGGGTGGAAGGACTAAGATCATGGAACTAACCACGGTAGTACATTAGGTGCCCGCCTTGCTTGCCTGGTCAACGCTTCTGTCACGGTGTGCGGGGAAGATGCGATTTACGCCTTTGGCGGATTCGATCAGTATACCGATGAAGGTGTGTATATTTTCGGTTGCGTTGCTGTCCCTTTTTATTTTAAGGTTGCATATGTGGTGCAGGTCTTGGTTTACTTAATTGCCGCGACGCCGCTATCGCTCGCGCGGTTACGTTTTATATTTACCTTATTGACAGTTGGCCCTTTTATATAGTATACAATCATGTGCTCAGATTGGATCTGCGCACTTACACGTGGACTCTCGTTGATAACTACGGTGACATTCCTAGTGTTAGGATGGGTATGTTCCTATCGCGTCATTTCTATTATTATACCTACTATTTCTTGGCACCATCTACCACCACTGCTCCTTCTTGCATACCCCCCCCTCTTTTAGCAGTGGCGTCATCGCTACTCTTTCCATGCACTGTGCTTTATCCATCTTCTCGATGCCCGGCTATTCGTTTATTAGTCCATTCTTGGGCTGCTGGTTCCCGCCTTTACTAATTCTGTCCGGGTCTTAGGTCACACAACGGTCTATTGGCGTGACAACAAGCTAATAATATTTGGTGGGGAAAATGAACATCGGATGTTCTTGTCGGATGTGTACATCTTCGACATCCCTACCGCGACATGGTCGCAGCCGGTTCTTTCCGGACGCCCCCCTTGCGGTCGGTCTCGGCATGCCGTTGTCCTTCATGACGATAAGCTCTTTATTCTCGGCGGCATTCATAACCGTTCAGCCATACCATCTGACTTTGATCCAGAGGAGGATAACGAATACAATCCACAGGAGGTTCTCGACGATATTTGCTATCTGGACCTGAAGACAATGACATGGAGCAGGAGTTGGACATGGATTGCCAGGTTTGACCACCAAGCTTGGATTAGGGATGGTAAATTGTGGGTGTTTGGTGGTATGGGACAAGGAATGGATCGAACGGGGGAATTGATATCTTTGGATCTCAATCATCCGGCATTTGCGAGGACAGAGATCAAGCAGACAGGGTACGTTACGAGGCAGCCGGGGCTAGGTGGAGATGCTGCAACTGTGACCGGGGGTCAGAGCCGAATACTTCGCTCTCATCGCCCTTACGGCCCGAATTCCCCACGACCAATCGCGAGCTCGCGACGGAATACACCACCGCCGAAAAAGCAGGCAGTACCCGCTGCTACTGCCTCTGTTTCATTTCTCTGGGGCCGGGACATACCCTCCGAGGCGCATGGCACACACTTCCATCACCTTTGTGGGAATACTTTGCTTGACTTTGTGACCTCTGCGAATACAATTCGGCCATCCGAGACGGGCCTCTGCGCACTTAACCTGGATGACATGACATGGAGGAAAATTGCTGACGGTATGGATATCGTGGGGGGAGGGCTATGGAGGTGGCATTATCTGGCGATATCTCCGGACAGCACTATGGCTTACCTTCTCGGATGCCCTACCGATACCGATGAGGATGTAGGGGAGGGGGAGGAGTATCTTTCGGATGTTTTGCCGATTGATTTGAGCCGATTTGGGATGAATGTTGACCAGAAGGAGGGGGACAATCCCAAAGCTGGAACGTTAGGAATGGATCTGGCTAATTTCTTTGATAAGCCCGATTTTGGCTCTGATTTTGTGGTCCGAGCGATAAAGGATGAAGCTGCGGAGGGCGATGAGTGGGATATGACTGGGGTATGGGGGAGAAGTATCATGAACGGATCGAACAAGATGCATGGTATCGATGAAGGCCTTAACCGGCCCGAAGGGGGCTCTGGAGATGATGACCTTCCGCCGGATGAGGTTTTAGGGCCCCCTATTAGGGTTCACAAGCTCATTCTACTTTCGAGATGGCCGCACTTTGCAACCCTATACAGCGCTCGGATGGTTGAGTTTCATAAGAATAGGATGTACTTACCGGAACCATACACCGTCGTCCGCGCGTTTTTGTATTACTTATATACCGACTCTGTAGCGACATCACCTTACTGCCCTAACCTTTCAACGGTGGCTGGTCTGCTCGTCATGGCTAACCTGTACGATTTGAAACGACTACGAGCGCTGGCTCTCAACAGGCTATTCTCAGAACTTGACGTTGAGTCCGCAGCTGTGATCTGGGAGCGTGCTGGTGTTGCTGGCGAGGAAGGCTTACGAAAGAAAGCTGCTGGCTTCGTGTTGACATACTGGGGTCGCATAGTCCGAACAATGGGATTCAGACGCCTGAGCAGACGAAGCCTGATGGAGCTCTGTGAGGAAGTCGATGTGGAAGGGCGCATAATGGGTAGTGAGGAACTGGGCGTCGTGGGTGCTGTCGACGGCGGTGTTGTCGGTCTATACCAGGGCGATATCGGAGGATTTATGACTGAAGAGGCGCGAATGAGGACGAAGAGAAGGCGGTATGTGGATGATCCGGAAGAGTTGGAGACTGGAGAGGCGGAGGAGGATGAAGAGATGAGTTGATGGGATATGACTTGGATTGGATTGAATTGATAGATGTGCTTTGGTGTTGGTTAGCTTTTATTGTCACTTTTTCACTCGCGTTCCTCCTCGGAAACTTGAATACAGATTGTGCTTTAGGGTTTTATTTTCTATATCTTTGCTTGATTGCTTGATTGCCTGGAGTGGTGGGTTTTAAATGTATATGGCGATTAGGATGGGATATTTTCTTTTTTATTCTTCTCATTTTTACCCTCTCTATCATTACATTATTTCCCCTTCCTATCGCATCTTATTTTCAGTCTTATTCCGTGTGGAAACCCGAATCAGTATGGTATTATCAAGTGAGTGGGTAAAATTGATGTATGATATTTGCTCGGCTATGTGATGACAATTGCATTGTTATAATTTATTTAGGGTATCATGGATCGTCACTCGTGGCTTCATCTTTCGTGAGGGGCCGCGATTACCCTTTTGGTAAACGGTGGTCAATGCTGTGATTTGTTTTATTCCCTCTTCCTCCAGCCGAGATACTACTTCATTCTAAACAGCTTCACTTTAACCTAATATATTCACTCCAACCAAGCAATGCTCTCGGGTTATGAATTCCCATCACATAACCCCTCTCCATACGATGCGATACAAGCACCCGAGTCCGTTTCTCAATTTCCCAAGTTTCCATTTCCCCCCCCCTCCCTTCCTTCCCTCCCCCTTCCAACCTCGCGGGCACCATAGTGGCGCAGGATGAGACCCATATTAACGACGGGGCGACAACGTAAGTGTACAAAACATGGTGCCCAACAATCAATCCCTCGAGATGTAGCCCGGTCAATGCGAACTTGACGGGATCCCCTCGCAGCCCCACACCGGAAAAAGCCACGCGGGGAGGGGGGGCGGGGGCGGTGAGGAAGTATTTGAGATATTAAGATATGATACCCCCCCCCCTTTGGTTTGTGTTTCCCTTCCCAGCACACGGTTTCGGAGTAAGAAGGGGTCTTTTTGTAAAAAAGATAATGATACCTATTGAAGAATAATATCATTATAATATTTTACCTGTTTGTTTGTTCTCGCCCTTGTTTCCGCAGCCGAATATTCGGTCCTGCCATCGTAAGTCTGTCGATCAATCCTCACCTCACCTCATCATTCTCTAGGGGGTATGATAGTACGATAGGTAAGTACCGTAGGTGTTGAAGTGAAGCACTGCACCGTACCAGTGCTGCCATACGGATCCGCGGACGGTAGATAGAAGTATGGTCAACCATCATGGCTACGATACTTTTTTGGTCCCGACAATGATAGCAATGGCGGAGGAAGAATGAGAAGTGCGGACGACAAACGGGAAATCTTTTTTTTTTTTTTTTCTTTTCCATCGTCCCCGAGGAAGGAGGGAGGGAAAGTTATTCGAGCGGGACGCGAGATGTACGATATGATAGAACCTACCGTGGTCGAGTGTAGCTGTACAGTACTAGAATAGTACGTGTATGATACTCTGGAATGGATAATAAATAAAAAACGAATCCAGTAAGATAAAATGTATTTGTGATAATCGTGCGAGCTTTTTTTTTTTAAAAAAAAAAAAAAAGTCAAGTTACGGTATGCAAAAAGTCGATTTTAAATCTTTTCTTCCGTCTTTGTAATGATGTTGTGATAAAAAAGAGTCAATTTAATTCCTTTCGAGTTTCACAGATGTAAGGGGTGCAAGATTTCCTCCTCTATTGTTGCAGCGCGGATCTGGTGATCCGCTCATCGCTTGCATCCCCATAATGTTATGTAGTTCTCGTGATATTTGAGCAGGTTTATTTCCGAACACCCGCTTGGTCTATTTGTATTGAGGTCATTTTCTGGGGTTCGTCTGGTGACATAGTAGCTCTAAAATATGACCGCTTTTACTCATGGATGCTGTATCTTGTAGTGTTGGCATTTTTTAGCATATATTCCATGAATGAATCTCTAAGTTACATTTTATCCCTATCGGGATCATAAACTTCTGTATCTATTTACTGACTGACTAAGATACATGTTCTTTCCCAATTGGTTCCTACCTAGAATGGATACTAAAAACCATCCATCTCCTAAAAAAAACATGAACTCTAACCTATTCATGATGTTCCGCGGCGTTCCTTGTATAATAATATCGTACATATTGGAATTGGAGACTCGTTTTCCGACTCTCAAGAACTTGTCAGGCAGAAGGTTTCCAGTTTCGCGGGGTGGGGGGGTTTGGTCCGCAACCTTTGCCCGTTTCCTAGGCCTCCCGAACAGAATTATCCGTTGGAATACAGTGCTGTACCATACAGTACGGCAACTCCCTCCTAACACCATCACTTTTCCCCCCTCCATCCACCACGCAGCGTAAGGCCAGCCCCCAGCCCCTCGGGCGATGTTTCCCGGTCGGGGATCTAGTATTGCCTTCCTGCCAGTCTCCGTCGGACCATGCATCCTTCCCTCCGACCGATTATATTGAACCCGAGAGCCAAATAGTTCCAGAGTTTTAGAGCGTTGCGCACACGAGCGATACTCTGTTGTTTGCTGCTAACCCACCACAAAGGGCTTGACAACGGGTGTTGTAGGAAGGAAATGCTTCACTCCAGTGAGGTCCTGCTTATCTGGTAGGATACCATAACTCCGGCGTGCGGAAATACCACTTGCTCTTCGTCTAGTTAGAGGCATTGGTGGAACTTTTAGACAATTTTGGTGGGGGTTTGAGGTTCCGGCAACCGGCAATATACCAGGCTATTGTTTTCCCAGATCCACATGACGGATGGCCTAATGGCTCGTTGAGAGAAGTAATCGAGCTCCCAGCACCCCGGTGATTGCGCTAGTTAACCAGCTCTTGACATCTTATTGCTGTTTTCACTTTAGTTGTCGCAACTTTGGAAAACAGACGTTGCCGTTTTTTTTTAAAAAAGTGTTTTTTTCTTCTCCCGCAATCTTAAATGCGCCACTGGGCAATCTTTGAGAACTGAGGGGGACACTTGTGGCCTTTCCTCAGCAAATATCAGCAAATAGTAGACCTTTTTGTTTGGGCACGGCCTTGACGCTAGCTCGGGAAATTAATTTGAGAAAAAAACACCACCCGTCGAAAAAAAAAACTGTGTCCTCGGTTTTCCAAAGTTGCGACAACCAAGGTGAAAACAGCAATACCTGCTGAACCGGCTAGGTATTTCACGTATCATCGTGGGAATGAATATTGGTAGATCGAAAGAAAAAGGAAAAAAAAATTCATCCGGGTTTAAGGACGACGGCCCAAGCTGTTCTTCATCCATCATATAACATAGGAGTGGATACACCCCCGAGGAAGGGAAGAGAAACTGTAGATAATCCTTGATCGCTAACAGGGCCCCTTCGTGCTTAAAGGAATGATCCCGGCTGGGATGTCAACGTTGAGAAGAGAGAAAAACGGTAAGTTAGGTTCGGTAGAGAGGGGGAAAGTATAGTATTCGGACACCATGCATTGATAATCGTATAACACAGGAGTGCTACAACCTTCCCGACTCGCTATATCCAGTTCGGGGGCGTCGCGCACAACACCAAAGTCGGACGGCCGAGGCCTACCTGGGCCCCATCTACCGTCAAAACCAACCATACGTTCCCCATCGTTCGCCTCTCAAACATAGTGATCAAAGTCTCTTGTCCATACTTCCCCCGAAACACCCCTTTCCCTATAGCAATCTTATGATACCCATCTTCACAAGTAGTCACTCACAACCGTAACTTCCGACACTGCAACAATACAGTACGTTATCCCGTGGAGCAACCAAAAGCATCAGATACCCGGAAGATGGACCACTCGAATAGCAGTGAACCCCGTCACACACACCGCCGGGCGCCGTATTAACGAGGAAAAGAAAACAGGCATAGTAGGAACTGGAAAACAGGAACCATCAGTGCTAGCCAGACATTAATCGGAGACGAGGGCGAGGATACCGACGGCTACTCCCGAACCAACGATGGTAGGAATCGACCATAGCGCGTCACCGAGAGGAAAGTCTGAGTATAGTGCGTGCTCGTCACCGACGCGGCCACCTCTAACACGGCACGCACAACTACCAAAGAACAAGCCCGGCCTTTTGTGCGAAGGTGCTGCTGGACCCCGTGAACAGCGCTATGCGCCAGTTCCGACAGGTAAACAGGAGTATCTGCCCCGACCACTGGCCACTATTTGCCGTTTTTCACATCGTGCTCGTACCATTCGGCGCTTTTCCCAGCCCACCACCTTTCCGTCCCACGCCTGCACGGCACGGACACTGGACCCAGTGATTGTCTTTCAAAGTAGCTGTGAATCTTTTTTCCAATCGCCTTCCTGTAATTGCCGTCCACCCCGTGGCTTGAACACTCCCGCTTGTTTCCGGGCCGCTAGTTTTTTCCAGAAGATATATATATCTCCTGCGAGCAGTCTATCATCTGTCACCCCCCCTCCTAAAAAAGAGAAAAAGAAAAAGAAAAAGAAAAAGAAACACCAAACCACGCACCCCAGAAAATCAACCAACAGCCCACAAACGTGGTTATCAAAAGAATACAACACCCCGCCCAGAAACGGGAAAAAACAAAAAGAAAAGAAAAAAGGTGAAGCAGTGTTGTACCAAAAACCCACCAGCATGCAACTATCACAGCTAATCACTCATACTCACACTCAAACTCACAGCACCGCCACCGCCACTTCCACCAAAAATAAGAATAAAAATATTCCAGGAAAAAAGGAATTATCATAATGGGGCTAGTACGGAACACCCGGCGCAACGCCCCGTCCGTCGGACGGATGTCACGGCCCGGATCCGGAGCCGCAGCCGCAGATCCGGGTGACGGTAACGGATTTAGGGGGAACGAAAGCTTCCCGAATCTTTTTTCATCCTCATTCATTCTTTCTCTCTTAGTGATTGCAATTATCATACCCTTTGCGGGGGTCTCGGCGAATGTTAGGCTCGGAAGATAGGATGTCCTGTATGGTAGAGTGCTGTGGATTTTGGGGTTCAGTGAGTGAGCGGTCGAGTGATTGTTGGAAGGGGGAACTCTGGCGGGGGGGATGGGTTCGCGAGATTTGGCCCATTTGAAATGTCGCGCATCCGCTCCCCGCTTTTGAGCTCCGAGTTCCGTAAGCTTCGTTGTGCTACTATACGTGCACTGTGAGTCATGACCGGGGTTGCAACGGTGCCCCGGGCCAAAATTGATCGTAGTCATAGAGAATCACTCGGTAATCGAGAATATTCCATTCGTTCAAGGGGTATTACACGTTCGTGATATGCATTTCTCCATCGGTCCACCCACCCATGCATCTATAGCAGCGTAAGCTAAGGTAAGGTACAATATAGCAAAGTGACAATAGCAATAATGAATTAACCGAAAAATATAGTATGAAAAGATTTTTAATGACGTGAGCCGACGCCGTACTCCCTATAACAAAAACACAAGCCAACCGCAACGGCAAAAAGAGAAAAAAGAAAAAACGGAATGGAGATAATAACAAATCCTTCAATAAACCCCTGCGCGGAACCCAGCAGCCCTAATCGCCTCCTCAACATCACACTTCTTGAACCCCGGAAACCTGCCCAGACATACCCCCTTCTTGACCAGCTCTACCATAAATCACCAACACGTCAGGAACTCTCTTCTCGCCGTCTCGGGCATCGGGAACGTGACAGCGCTTGCAGTAGTAGCTGCCTTAGTGCGGATGTGGGTGGGGGAGCACATACGGTTCACAAACACGTCTATGTCAATGGTCTTCTTGACGCCCTCGAGAATGTTGGTAGACGTGGGCGTGTCCAGCTCGTCGCGGGCGGTGGGTGGAGAGTGGGTGTCGAAGAGCCGGAGTTTCTTCTCAAGGGTGAGGTGCGGAGAGGAGGATGGAGATCGGGATTCTCTGGAATTCGCCGAGGGAGAGGGAGAGGGAGAGGGGGCAGCAGCGGGGTGGATGAGGTAGGAGGGCGTGGTCATCCTGTTTGCTGTCAGGCAGTCCGTTGAGCCTTCTGGTACTTCTAGTATTTGTTTTGACTGCTGTTGGGAGGAGGAACGGGGTTTACTGGTTTCCGCGAGGCTTGGGTCGATGAGATGGGATTGTTGTTGTTGGCTGGAGGTCAATATCCCTAGCTCTGTGATGTACTTTTCCACCTCGTCGGGGCGTAGGAACTTCTGGTCGAGGCCCATTTTTAGCATCATCTTTTTGGCTTCCAGGCGGAGGTCAAAGTCCTTCATATCGTCGTCTGTTAGGCCGCTGGTGAATACCGATGTGTCTGGAGTGCAGAGGTAGGCCTCCACAATCTCGGGGCGGATACTTTTTGGCAGGATCTCTGGGTAGTCTCGGACGTGCAGGCTCTCTTTGGTGGTAGCGCTGAGAAGCCGGTTGACAACCCGGATTACATCGGCTTTGGAAAGGTAGCAGAATGTGTATGCGAACATGCGCGCAACCTCCTGTGGGTCGGCGTCTGGTGATGTGAGCATGTAATGGGCATGCTCAAGGGCAGCGCGGTGCAGCCTTCGGGAGAAGCTAGTCTCGTGAAACGAGTACGTGAAACCCTCATAAATGAGAGGCCCCTCCTGGCGGAACTGAGAGGCCGCTTGCAAAGAGTCACCGTTAGGCTGGACGTAGTTGGCATACCCGCTCTCCGGGGAACTAGAGACATACGCGTCGCTGTAGGGGTTCGACGTTGGAGACGAGTCCATGTGACCCGTCGTGGCCTCGCTCCTTCCGTTCCCGTTGCCATTACTCCGGCTTTGAGTGCCATTGCTATTATTGAAGGAATCTCGAGAGTTGTTCTGCCTAGTATAACTGACTTCGTACCCCCCGTAATTGGCCACTCCATTTGGGCCGTTCGTTTGCATCCGCCCCGAGCCAGGACCTCCGTCTTCGTCCCTGCTCCGCCGCCGCTTCACCCCCACGCCGGAGTGGTCCTCGCCGTTATTCTCATCTTCGCCTTCGTCGTCGTCGTGGGAATCCGCTCCTTCGGAGCTGCCTAGAGCTCCCTTCGCCAAGCTCAGGAACCTCTCGGTAAGTTCCTTGAGGTTTGTTCCGTAGCCAAGAGTTTGGGCATCATTACTCTTGCTCAAGCACTTCATGGCCGACTCGTGGAGCTCCAGGAAAGTGCTTTGCATTCCGTCAATCGCCGTTTCCAATTCGGTTACCCTGTTCCTCAGCGAGGAAATTGTTGTCTCCTTCCGTAATCTGTAGGCTCTCTGGGCAAGTCTGATTTGGGTTCGTCGACGCTATGTAACTCATTAGCACGAGGACAATACAAGCAGTAGCGACAAGTGGGAATTCCTACATCTGCAGCGTTCTCATCTTTAGTGTCCAGCCGTGGCCTGCCTCTCTGCTTCCGGTTACCGGTATTCGTCCCTCTGGCGACGCCAACGGATTCATGCACACTGTCGTCACTCCCGGAGCGCTTCCTTCGTCCGCCACCGGCACCCCTTCCCCGGCCGGCACCATCAGGGCCATCGGGATGCGGCATTGAATGGAGTCGCTCAGCATGCATGCGATCCCGGGCTCTCCCTCGTTCGTGCAAAACCCTAAGATCTCCATGTTCTTCTGCGGAAAGAATACTTAAATCCATATCCATATTACTCCCCATGGGGATCGGGTCCATGTCCATACCCATTACACCCCCCATAGTAAGATAGGCAGCGGGGTCGAGATAACCACCCTGCTGCTGTTGCTGCTGCTGCTGCTGCTGTTGCTGCTGAGAATTGGAGCTAGGGGCAGGATGTGAAGAGGCCCTGGAGGGTAAACTCTGGGCATAAGAGGCCGGTGCCGGGAGGCTCGGATTCATACTGTTCATTGGGAATGTCGAGCTATATGGTGATGTTCCGCCGCTATGATGACCAGAGTGATGTGGGGATCCGGGGAAACTTGTATGTTGCTGCCGAGGCTGTAGATATTGTGGGTGCACGGGATTCGGATGAATATTATTGCCGGCGGACATGATGCGGTCTCGTTGCTCCCGGGTAGTCGGAATGTAGGTAGGCAAGAACGAACGGAGACCCGCTTGCGCACCAAGAGAACTGTCCATACCTTTTTATAATAAATAAAAACAAAGGTAGGCAATGGCTGGATGAACAGGGAGAGGGGGGGTAGGCGTATAAGCAAGGGAGGAAAGAATAGAGTAGGGGGGTCGAGTCCAAAGCACTTTTATTTATTTTTCTTATTTTTATTTTGGCCCCTTCGAGGCAGAGGGAGGCGTGCGTCTGAGTGGGTGAGGGGCGAGTGGGTGAGTGAGTGCAAGAAGTGCGTGTGTATGGATGGCGATTGATGGGAGGGTATGATATGATTTGTGAGGGAGAATCTGTTAGAAGCTCTTTTTATTTATTTTTTTTATTTTTTTTGGGTTGTCGTAATCCTCCGTCTATGGGGGTGTAAGATGGGCCCGAAATCAGTCCCTCTCTGCCTTCCCCCTTCGTATTCGTGATCTCTATATACCTCAGGGTCCAACACGACACCTTGAATGGGCTGCACTGGAAACCGGAGCGTATCGATCTCGGAGCTATTTCTTGCCTATTTTTTTCCCATATCCCCGGGCTGGGGATTCAAGAGGAAATGGAATAAGCGAAAAAAAGGTTATTGCTAGGAATAGTGATGGTATTGTGGGGCGGGACGGCGTGACTTCCAGCTCGAGTTCGTTCCTGCGGGAGAGAGGGTGAGGGTGATTCTTATTGTTCCCTCCTTCTCCAACGACTTATCGAATGAAATGCCCAGCTGGCTCGCAGCCGAAAGTGGATACCGGTACGGCGCTCGAGGGAAGAAGGGTGGCTCCCGTCCTGTATAATAGTACCAAAAGCCCGGGCCGGTCTAATCTAGTAGACTTATTGATCCTGGCTCTCCCGTTCTCACCTGGATGGAATATATCTCGCTGCTGTTTCTCGTCTTCTTCCTTTCTTCCTTTCTTTCTCTTCCCTCACCGAAGCCTGAAATGGGATGGACAGGAAAGGTTATCTCTTATATATATCCAAACAGTACTGTAGCATGAGCAGCAGTGGATGGCGAAGAACCCCCACTATACACCGCCATAAACTCATACCCCACAAAACAATAATACTGTGATACACAATAGCGGCCCTAACTTTTGCGACACCCAAAGACAGATTCCTTTTTGCCCTGTGTTTTTCCTTGTAACATTAACGGTGGACTTACCGCAATACCTAGACAGCCCCTTGAGCTAATTTCCTGCATGGGGTGAAGAGAGTAGGTGAACCCGTAACTGAGAGGAGGGGCGAAGAAGTGCACGGTGGACTAATAAGTTAAGGTAGTGAAAGAGGAAGTAGAGGAATGGGTGCTATGACGCACTGCCGTACTCGAGGATTGCCAGTTCCCATCACCACCACACCACCACCACCACTACTACCGCCACTGTCGGTGCCACGAAAAGATAGCTTTAGTTTATCTGACATTCTGAAGCCTGTGTGGCAGTGAACACACACCCATGCACGCATACACACACGCCCCTCAATAAAGTCTGGAAATGCTAGTGACAGAATATGGAAAAGAAGGGAGGGAGGAAGCAAAAGAGGGATGTGTTGGAATGCAACCGGCAGATTCCCGACAAGTTTGGACCGAATCCGCGCTCTCTCTCCTCCTTCGAAAATTCCATGCCATCCATCACCTTACCCACCCATCCTGCTCACCCCCCCAACCCTACCGCCCGGGGGGGGGATGGTTAGATTAGGAATGGCCCATGTGGGGGCTACTGTGCTCGCAACCACAAGCTGTCCAAGAGCGGATAGCTCGGCTGGTTCTGGGAGGGAATAAAAAAGGAACGTGTGTGAAAGAATGGTCACACAAATCGAATGGAACAACACTTTATTTATTTTTTTAATTCTGGAAGAAAGGCGTAAGCTGAGGGCAAGAGAGGAATGGAAAAGAGGGAGAGAGGGTTAGCGAAGGCGGTGGTGCCGATGGTAATGATGGGAGGGAACTTGGAACTGCGCTGAGTCAATTTCAGCCCCGCTTATTAAATTGAGATCTTACGAATTGACGTTGCTGGACTTTCCTTTTTTTCCTTTTCTCCTTCGTTCTATCACGTTGTTGACGGTGTCCGACGGGGGGGGGGGAAGAGGGTAAGTCAGAACCCGGAGTTAACATGGAGAAAGGCCTTTAATCGCCGGTGGATGATGTGCAGAACATGAACCGCAAGAAGGAAGAAGAATCCACCAGTAAAGAGAGGGTGTTCTACTACTCTCCCGTCCCGAATCATTTGGGTCATTCATTATAGACAGGGTCTGCTCGCTATGAGTCCAATGCCGAGTAGGGTTACCGGTACTTGAATACAGTACTGTGTTTGAACTCTAACCCCAAGTATGATACTTTTGTTTGTGCTGTGCGCTTCCTCTCTTCTAATGGGATCCAGGTTCACAGGTGTGCATCATACCTATACTACGGTACATGATTCCAGATGCAGACACTCTTCCCTTCCTTCCTCTATCCGGGCCATGCCAGGCAAGCATATACTGCACATAATATACCCACCTTTTCAATGCCATGCATCCTTGTGCATACGAGTACTGTACTCGTACCTTTCGGATACAATCCTTGGCCGAGACATTCCATCCAAAATATTTCACATACAGTAGCAAGAAACAGTAAGGTAGAACACTGTACTCACAGGCTGTCAGCAGTCTCTCCATTCCTCAAATAACCTAAACGCTTTCTTTAAAAAATCGCAAGTAACTCGAAGCCTCTGATATCTGCCAATTTTTTCAAAAGATGAACTGGGATCTAGGGTGGATGTCTTGGCGGTTTTCTTGGAATTTTTAGCATAACTTACCACCCCAAAAAACACCACCTTTAAGTGAAGCCAGACCAACACATGGAAGCCTTTTTTGACGGTGAAGTAATTCTTTGCAAAGATTTCATTTTCTCAATAGGTACAAGTATATTCCCCAGCCGAAGGTGTCCAAAAGATTTGTTTGCCAAGTGCATGGCATTGAAATGGTTGACCCGCCAAACGAAAAAGGAGAGAAAAAGAAAGAAAAAGATTCACCGTGAACCAAAACATTTCCTGTCAAGAACAAACCGTTGAGGACCAAAAACTTCCCCTACCCGGGTACCGGTACCCTACTCGAGTACGGTACTGCCCAAGCCTCACTCCATGCAAGCGCTCGAGCACTGTATCAATGCAGGCAGGATGAAAGGTTTGATAGCATAGAGGTAGCATATTAGCTCCTAGGAGTGGGGGGTAACTATGATAGATCAGTAATCACTCCCCCCTCCCCAGCCCAACTGCTCGAGTCTGGTGGAGGGAGGGCAAAAATGAATCATAGAAAATCACCGAATCCTTATCCACTCGGGATAGGGGGAACAAACAGGGGAGGGCAGATGTCTGTGTGATGAATAAAAAAAATTATCTATTTATCGGCTCGGCTACCGGGAAATTTGCAAAGTATCCGAAAGCTTTCCACCAAAGCAAGAACGGTACGAGTACTGTACCAGTACTAGTACCCATCAAGGCAAAGGTGTCCAAATACTCGTTAAATTGCCAAGTATAACAGAGATGGGGTTATTTTCCTTTCTAGGTATCTCAACTGCTCGAGTGAAGGAATTTTTGCACCTGGCCCTCTATATCCTTGCCCGTCCTGATACGGCACATTCCCCCTGCCCCTTATAAGTACCCACTTTTATCCAAGCCCAAAAGGCAACTCACGAGATGATGGTAAAGCAGAATGACTTTAACGCCTCCCGGGCGCAGAAGAAGCCGAGGCCTGGCCAAAATGGAAAGGGAAAAGGAGAAAAAGGAGATCATTTGAGCTCGCGTGGTGGCCGGCATGCCGAGCCTCTCAGACATGGGCAAGACCCACTTGGGGAATTTTTAGCCTAATCCAGTCGAGATGGCAAAGTAGTTGTACGGAATTAGACAACCATATTCCTTCTTCCCTTCACCCCCTTTCCACTCTTCGAACACCACCACCGCCACCATAATAAACCCACCATAGTCTACTTGTAGCTCAAGTCGATGAACAACAAAGCAAAAGCTTGGAAGACCACAATCCCAAGTTAGCGGATCTTACTCAGTTGTAACCGCCGGAGAATATGGCCCGTTGAGAAAGATAGCGTACCATAGCCCTTTCTTCCTCTTCCTCCTTCACAGAGGGGGGATGAACAACGAACCAGAAACCATTATGTCACTAGCTGTGCGGATACACTTCCCCGCTTACTGTGCGATACGATACGAATGACGGCGCGCAGTGCAGGGAAATTATGTATGCTTGCAGGTTTTGTTCAATTCGTGTTAGTCTTTGGGGGAGAATGAACGCAGGATGCACCTTCTAAGCGTGCAGGAGATAGCTCGGTGCTACCTATGGGTGCAAGCTTGGTTTTTATTCCTTATGCATAAGTTACCCCCCTCCACACACCGGGGAGCGAGTACCGTAAGCAAGCGAGTGACCCGATCTCAACCATAGGCCACCCTCAACCGGTGCGGTAGTTGCCCCCCAGCGTTGCTTATGTCAATGCAAACCATCCACTGTCAGCACAACCGCAACAAATTGGTCGTGATTACGAACAGCTTCCGACAGTGCTACTGTATCCTGCTGTGCTCGAGTACCACCGCTGAATTAAGCTTCCTCTGCCGCCGCGGCTTGTCAAACAATCGTTATATTAAAAATAAATGAAAAATAGATGAAAGAATAAAAGCGATAAATGATGGCAATGATAAGTTAATCCCGCATTGAGCCGGGGCAGGAAGGTGAGATTGTGGGTTCGGTATCGGTCTAGTTTGTTTGTTGCAGGAGCGGTTTGGTTTGCAGCGCGGTGGACACTGTCTGGTGATATCGACGGTGAAATTGTTGTGTTTGGAGGGAGGTACGATTGAGGATACGGTAGTTGAAGGCTATCGTGCAGGGCGTGAATGACCCCAATACACGTATTACTGTATGATACCCATGTCTTCCTAGAGCCGTGCAACACTCTACTCGAGTATGATACCGTGCAGTCCAACTAACGCGCTCTACTATGATATTCGTACAACTTATCAAAAAAGCGCCATCTGATCATCCGATAACCCATCTAATCAGATGGCTTTCTTCCTTCCGTCCCGACCCCCACCACCCAGCAAGGTATGATATTCCTGGGGGGACAGGAACCAAGCCAAGAAAGAGGGGAAGTGTGAGCAAAAACAGAGTTGCGGAAAATCCAAGGTCTCAAGGAGCGTACACTGGTGCGAGCATGCTGTATCATACCTCATCGTGCGATTCTAGCCTACCCTTCCGGACCGGACCAGACCTGGACGAAGCAGTTTCACCCCCCCCCTCCGAACGCAAATGAAGCACAAAGAAACCACCGAAACCTGCTCAGCCACTGCATAGTATCGCATTGACCATGTTTCAAAGAATAACCCACTATCATACTGTATTGTAGATATGCAGGCATGGCTAGCTAGCTAGCTAGCTCCGCCACAGACGCTATTAACAACGGGACCGTTGAATTACGGTTGTGGACGGAGCGGCACTTGTATTTTTTCTTTTCTTTTTCTCTTGCGGAGGTGTGATGGTATCCTGGTATGGAAGGAAGGAAAGAATTGAAGGGTGCATCCGGGACACATGAGAACACGTAAGAATTGCTTCTTGTCCACTTTCCCGTTACACCATCGCCACTAGGCGAGTGTAGAGTATGCAGTTAGCTTAGCTATCTAAGGACATCAAACCAACCCTGCCTGCCGGCTCGAACCTAAACCGCACAGGGCCGGGTGAAGAAAGCGGGAGGAAGAAGAAGGAGAAGAAGAAGAAGAAGAAACGGTAAAGAGGAACACATAGTGCAAAATAAGAGCACTGTAGTAGAGTGATGGATCGCATCACCCTACTAGGGTTGGGGGGAAGGTGCTCCGCCTCGATTGTGATTTCGTGTATGAATGTAACGGTATGCATGTACTCGTACTTCAGTATTGGTTATTTGTCACTGCGAGCACAACACAGGAACTGGCTGACCCGGGCGATGGGGTTCGAGGACAATGGCTGTGCCATGCAGCAGGAAGTGGGAGGGGAGAGAACCTTGGTACAGGATTCTATCACCCTCTCTGCACCCCGGGGACCGGTGGGACCAGAGCCAATACCGGTAGGTTTCTTTTTTTCCTTCTTTTTTTCTTTTGACCGGAGACAAATACCTGTCCCAGGAAAGGAGTGCCCGAAAACAGGGTGGGTATATTTGGTACCGGCCCTCAGATACCAGTACAGTACTTGTATTTGCGGATGTTTTGGTTTGGCATACCGGTGTATCCCCCTAATCCCTGGTTTCGGGTACCGGTACTTCTTGCCCGGGGTAGTCGCAGTGAGATGAAGAATGGCGGGTGTATGATACTAAAGTACCATTAGTCCAGGCACGGGGGTGGCTGTGATACCTCGTTCGCCAAGGATTCTAACGTGACCCTGCTTGCTTACCAAGGTTCAACTCTAGAGAAAGTACTACCTGTAGTACGGTGCCCGAGTGCATGTTTATATCTCCGAGCGAACACATTGTTCACCACGGTGCAGTGTGCAGAGTACCCTCGTTTCAAACAAATATGGATACAATATCAAAATGTTTTGTTACATCACACTCTGCAGCGCTCTAGTATTCTGCTCCCAGTCCCCCCACCCCCAATCCGTCTCCTCGTACCCGGCACACCCCCACTAGCAACCCGACACCGCGCTGCACGATTACAAGTGTGCTGGAACGTCGGAATCCTCCCTCCTTGGCTACCCGAGGATCAAGCACCACCAACTCAGCCCTCTGTCGAGACAAAACAAGAGGGATATACACAGCCCTACCAGGAGGGGCAACTACAACGCCCTACAGTAGCACATTTGTCTCTAATGTAGAGACCAAACACCAGCATGCATTCCCAAATGAAGCAGTGTTTGAGCTCGACAGCCGCTTTGAGGGTCTCGCCCGCGGGGGGGGGATGAGGCATGCATATTTTGTAGTACAGTAGAGTTGCTACGGGTTGCACTATCCTGGTCTGCAACATCACTGCAATGATCGGACAACCGCTTTGCAGCGGGGAAATTTAAGAAAACACGGAAAGAGCGCGTCGCATAATGTGCAACAGAACCTCTCCGCATTGCTCGAGCCATGGTTTTGGCCTCTTCATTTACTCGAGTACGCGACGAGGAGAGTTCTCGTCATTCCGAGCATGAGACCTGCACGTCCAGAGCGAGCACAGAATCAGCACATGACGAATGACCATTTTCCTTCGCGATCGTTGCACCCAAGAAAGAAAGAAAGAGCGCAGGTGCCCGCCGACACCCGAGCATTTCCTTACAGCATGTACGGCACGCAAAATTGGGAAATCCACGCCGAAAGGAATGAGAGAGTGTGTGAAGGAAGGATGGGTGGATGAAACGGCATCTCTCCCGAATGCCAGTTTTGAATACGTCTTCTCACAGCGTGGTATGTATGATATTCCCGGAACACTTCACGGCAGTCCCATGCGGGGAGGGAGGTGGGATTTATTCCCACTCGTGTAATATCATACTCGCAAAGGACGACCCGCATAGCAGAGGTATGTTACGGCAAGGCATGACCTGACCGGCGAAATGGCCAACTCCAACCTTCTGGAAGGTCCCGGTAATGCCCTACGGTAGAATCCCATCCCGTATGCTCCCTCCTCCCTCCCTACCCCCTTCCTTCCTACAGCGAGTGTGCACGACGAAACTCACCCACTCATGCAGGCAGAGCGCGAGCGATGCAGCGATCGACTCGACCTAAGTTAACCTTTGAGTTACCACTACCTTATCTCTACACCAACCCAGCGAGCGGAAACAACCACTTTTCACGGCGGCTAGGTTAATTTGGTTTGGATTTCTAATCGGATCATCCCAGTACACCGTCCAATCTCGCCCGCATAACAATAATGGGGGCGGGGTAAAACGAAATGTAAGCGGCAAAGGCTCATTACAAAGACCCATATGGGCACGCACCTAGCTGGAGATGTCAGCATGCGGGGTGGTTAGATAAGGTTGTACATTATGGTACCGATCGATAGCCACATTATGTACTTGTGTCCTGTTGGGGAGGGGTTTGGGGAGTTAGGTAAGGGCGATTAAACTCGAATGCTGGTAATTACGTGGTCGCGAGCTGAGCTTATTCAGGCGGATCGCAGAGGAATGTGTTGGTTTACCATGTGCTGTACAGTACAGTACATGTACAGTACTAGTACTCGAGTATATCTGGGCTTGGCAGGGTACCGGCAATGAGTGGTGCCGCACTGCCTATCATACCGTGTGAGACCGCATGGGTAAGGTGCTGAAGGCAGAGAGTCCTTCCTTGCTGTTGCTATCCGAAGAGGGGTCTGGAAATAGAGGGCAGAAAGAGAGCTACGCTATTTGGCCACATGGCGAAAAATTGTCAAGGCAATTGGTTGTGTGAGGCCACCCGGTGTGAGTGCCTCGGAACGAGCACTTCTACAACTCATCTGAATAATTAATTGTCGAGAGGGTGAGGGTCACGTGTTCTAGAGCACTGTACCGGCACCATCCTCGTGCAAATCGTACCGGTATTTGTCACCTCGTAATTTATGTTTCATTAGTAGCGTTATGATAGACACTGTACTCGTATCGTACAGTATTCGTAGCTGGACTAGTTAGCATCTCGCACCGCGGAGCCCCTCCCGTTCGTCACCCTTCCCCTTCCCCCTTCGCCCATTCATGAATGACGACGCTGGCCCCCGCCGGAAACCGAACAACCGAGTGAGCACGCATGTATTGGACAGCCCAGCCCAGCTCAGCTCAGTCACTAGTCTACCAGTCCAGGATCCCAAATCAGTACCAAGTACCTCGAGCGGGGGAACGGGGGGAGCAAGTCGGCACAACTCCTCCCCGTGAATTTATCAGCACCAGTGCCAAATTTTACGGGGCGGAAGAAAGTGAGGAGGGGCGAAGGAAAAGGAGGCAAGGAGCGGTACCGGTCTGATAGAAGCACCGGTTGATGTACTGGGGTCACCAAAAATGGTGCGACTCTGGCTACCCTATCGCGCGCGAAATGCAGAAAAAGAACATGTTTCCCAATACACTATCGGTCAGCTTTAAGCCTCCGGGTCCGATATGAGTAAAGGGAATTGGCAGTGAGAACTGTGGAGAGAGATCCGCTCAATGAAATGGCGAGATCCGGAAAATGCTCTTCCCTCAACCGGGAATAAATCACCACTCTCGAACCGAGGAGACCCATTCCACTCACCCCCCGGGCACTCCAACAGGCAAAGGGGTAATAACGAAGCGATATCCGATCGTTGATTCTGCGCACAATGCGTTGCGACGGCGTTGCACCATTATTCTCCACCCGCACAAATATGACGGGCGGTGTTTTTTTGTTTTTTTTTACCGTTTCCGGTGAATATGAACGAGGCATGGATCGATCGGTCGTTGGGGGTCGCTTTGATCGATGGTTGGTAGGGATGTGGGCACTGGTGTCGGAGGTATTGTGGAGATAAGCCTCAGCAGTCAGGAAGTATCCGAGTGCCGTACTCGAGTGCAGGGATTCGCGGGATATATGGCGAGCAAAAGAGTCCACACCACCGGAGAAGATGGACCTTTGACTGGCACGTTGGAGTTGCCTCTCCTAGTAAGGCTTGTTGCCTTTTTTTCTTTTTACTCGTTTTCGACCGAGAGCTGAGGGGCCAATTTTTGGCTCTGCTGGCCCCCGCTTGATCCGAAGAGGGGAATTCTGGACGTCTTGCTTGTAGCGAGGTCCGGTTGTTCCTGTTTCTGCTGCACGGGTACTAGTGCCTGGGAGATGTTTTGGCTCGGGCCGGGCATTCTTTTGCTAGTTAACTACAGCATCTCTGTCTTGCACAGCACGAAAGTGTCTCCCCGGGCAAGATATGATGCTCGAGTACTTGTGCCGTTGCTTTGTGATTGTAGTGTTGGAATCGGGGATTTGGGGGTTACGCCCTGCTCCATTGTACTGGTACCGAGGGAGATGTCTTGGTACGAGACAGGGATTATTTCGCGGGTTAGCCCAACCAACTGTCCAGTCACTTTCGGAATACGGACACTTTGTGCCCTCGTTGTATTACACCATTGGGAGGAATGGAAGGAGGAAGAAAGATCAAGCGTATTGAATTATTATTATTATTATTGAAGAGACGTCGGCTCCTCTACTGCGCTAGCCCACCAACTGGACCGGAATCGGTACGGAGGAAACGTTTAAGATGCCATCGATTTCAAGGGCACACAATGTTATGTTAGATACAAGTACGGTACTGTACTGTACTAGTACGAGTACAGTGCTCGTACACCAGCGCATACTATGAGCAGGGGTGGAGGAAATAAAAATGCGCTCTGTGCTCTAAACTCGGGCCTTCGGACACATCTGTGCTCCGGTCAGTGCGAAACTGCGGAAGGAAAGTGAGTGGAAGTGCTGGACATGACAAAGGAACCGTCGAATAAAAAACATGGGGCAAGTCCGGACAAGACTGGTCAAAATATGTGTGCCAGTGGACAAAGAATCAATTACCGGTACTCGTAGAGAATTATCCAAAAGCTGGGCGATCACAGTAACCATGGGAAGAACCAAGAAAAAAGCCTTTGAAACAGCTGAGGGAAATTTGAACCGGGGCTACAGAAAATCCGGATATAATTTTGGACTATGGTACTGAACGATGCCAGTGGGGTCTGAGTTTGGGGCGCGGGGTCCATCTTTACTCGAGTACTCGTACTCCCTCCACCCCTACCGATGGTACAGTACACGATGGTATGTTAAAAATATACCCCTGCAATCAACGGTGCTCGGGTATTTCTCTGAACCTTTCCTCCTGGCTATGGCAGTCCACCGGGCGCGGCCAGTCGGGTCAGCCGGTCATAATAGCTACGATCTGCTTGAAGGAAATAAACATCACTTCTTGATACTACACTCCTCCCTGCCTGCCTCAGTTCACACTCTAGCGGTACCGTACCCCACTCTATGGCAAGAATTCCGTGCGGATCTGAGCGCCCATACGAACTCACTACTCGTGTTTTTGGATACTTCTTGCCTGGACGGGTGTAGCGCTTCGTCGCTCCCCACCAATCTAATTGGGCACTCCTGAAGGTCCGTGACTGTCGGTACCGGTATTCCAAGAACCGCATCGACAAAAACGTCCCTCAAGACATGTTTACACCCTTTTCATGTCTCTCAATGAAACATCCCGCAAGGCACAGTACTCTACGGTACTCGTACGGTGCTTGTGTGATAGAAAGTCGGATAGATTGGGAACAACCAGAAATAATCGCTTATCCAAAGTTCTCACCTTGTCTTTTTTTTATTTATCACATGTATCAGCTAGGGACCACAGCCCTACCCGCTACAATTCCAAATCATCCTTTCATTTCCCTTGTGCCACAAAATTCCGATTGGCGCGATAATGGATGGGGGAAGGGAAGCTAGACTGCCACACGTACCTGGTACTTGTATATTCCAGTGAGGACGGTATCCGAAGGCCCTCGGCGCGTATTCATGTGTGCATGGCCTGAGCTGGTAGTGTCGAGGAGAGTACGGTAGTATCGTAGTAGGAAAACTTTCCTACTCTACCCTCTCTATGCAGACGACTCTGCCCTGTGGATCCTACTTTCGCGGGGCTGGCCAGGCAAGCATAATTCCACTTTGTTCAGTGCTCGCACCTGCACCATCAAATACCGGCATCCGAAAACCGACCCGCACACAGCACCAGGATCCCCCTCCTCGCGACACAAGCCCAAGCAGGTAACCACCTCTTAACCCCGCCCTCCGAGCCGTCCTTGAGCTGGCCCTGGTCCTGGTAGGTGGGCAGGGTTTATTCAATAATACGGACCCCCGTTGCCGCTATCCTGCATTATCATGTCTGTCAGCCAGGGAAGGCAGCGGAGTTCCGAGCCGGTGTAACGGTACTGAGCTGGGTAGAGGCAGGTATCCGGTATGAAGCGCACCTGCTGGGCACAATAACGAACCAGAGCATTTGAGTCCGAATTCAGCATAGGCGCTCAGGCGTGCACTGGTGCCGTGCTAGTTGTTCTCCCTTATGTTCTGGTTCATTATGTCTGGTGAGCGCATCGTGCCCTAAAATTTCGAGCCGAAGTTTTAGTGCGGGCGCCCAGATACCCATAAAGAACTTGCCACTCGGGTTTTTCGTCCATGTGTTCGGATACCCCCTACCCTATGCCTTGCCGTGGTGTGATCGAGGTTCGGGCACCGCTCTGCTGCTTGTATGGTGCTGGAGCTATTGTGATATTGTGTGGTACTCGAGTACACGTGAGAAAGACACTACAAGTACCAGTATTCAGGAAGGGGGGAGGCTGGTTGGAGGTAGCTTGGCTGATTTAGAGTTGCTCCGTGCGATTGAGGGGAGTGACATTTCTATCGAGATATATCGCAGTAGAGATTGGCGGACAGTCAGATAGAATGATCAGCGGGGTCCGTGATTCTAGGGGCAAAAGCTGGTCCATGCTCTGGTATTTATGTTGGTAACGCTGAATTCTTGTGAGGCGCGGGAGTTGTTTGGGTGATTAGTTTTGATTTCAACGTTTTTGTAACGGCTGTGTGCAGTGCAGCGCCCTACCGCGGTTTCGACTTGGTGATTACTGTAGATTTACCCCTGGTGGATTATTACCGTACAAGCCTTAGGATGTGGGGTGCGTCTTCTCTCGTATTATCATGGCTCAATTCCCTTTCCTGATGCAGGTAAATAAGTAATCACGAAGTGAAGCATATTTCTCTTCTCAATCTGATCATGTGGGATCACTCGTTTGGGATGAGTTGTTCTTATCGAATTTGGTCTCTGTAGGGCGAGCACTTGAAGGCGGGTACCGAGAGCTCTTTCTCAGCACTTACTCTGTCGGCGGTGGGGGGGGGGGGTATCCCCTCCAAGAGGTGTAAGAGCGCGTTGAATTTACTTGGGAGACGGAGCACTGTTTCGGTGCTGCGCAGTACTGTATCATACTCGGCGTGTGGTATTAGCGATTTCACGAAGAAGTGCGATTCTCCCATCAGCGACACAGCAACCGCGATGCTCCGCGCTCTTCTCCTTCCCCTTCGGTCGGTAAATAGATCAGCGGATCAATTAGGCGGATGAACCGAACCCGACCCCTCACTTGCACGTTTGTGCATATCCCTACACCACAGCGCACATACCAGGCGTAAAGAACCGGAAAAACCCCACTGGGTCCGAATCTAGTATGGGCGTTCAGCTGTGTCTAGACGATTTACCATATAAAGTTTTGCCTTCCGTGGGCGGCTCCATTACGCCCGGTGCGTGGGGCACCAGGGTAATGATTCCAACCCGTGAGAATGTGGATATCACGACTGCAGGCTACGATACCCTCCCTCCTCGACCCCGCCCCACCTTGCGACGAGCCTTGCATTGGAAAGAGACCGCCAATATATCATACCCCTATGAGGATATCTTATCCAGCAACTCATATATCACACCCAACAACAAGCTTCGAAAAAGACACAATATCAAACCCCCCCCCTTCAGGTCGAGCGAGAGAAAAAGTAAAGAAAAACTATCATACCTGTAGGAAGGGAGGGAAAAAAACAAAACACGGTCACGCAAACATCACCGGGAAAAAAGCAAACCTCGCCAGCACTTCTCCACCGATACGATACGGTGAGCGCTCATGCAACACAACAGTTCCTCCAATACAGCACGAATGTTTAAGGGTATGTGTGGCGGATCCACTCTGGTTGGCTTCTTTGCCGGTGGGAAGGGTTCGGACACTCCGAAGCAGCTGTGGCTAGAGGGGCACGAGGGGAACAAACCGTTCGTCCGACCTTTTTTTTCCACCTTCTTAAAAAAATTGAATTTTTTTTTTTTTTTTCAAAAAAGGCGAAAAGCAGAATTATTGGCCATTGGTATAGTTACACACTCCCCCAATTTTGGCCAGTAGGATTCGAGTTCGCCACACTCGGGTTATACTCGCGCCCCTGAGTACGGTGCAGTGCAGCATCTCGCACTTCTCTCCGAACCCCGCGTGCAATCCGATGATCCGGAGCTCGAGCCTCCCCTCCACGGCCGGCCGCCATCCCCCCCCGAGTCGAGTTCAGTCTACGAGTACCTGCCTGTAGCGAAAGGGGCGAGAGAGATAAATGCCGCGCTTCGAGCGGTGGTGGATAAGGGGGCCGGCCGGCCAGTTCGGTCGGGTATGGTATGCTTGCAAGCAGGATGAGATGGGAATGGTGGCCGTGGGGTCATGGAGGAGCACTCTATACCCTAGAGTGCCGCGAAACCTCTGGAAACCCGCTAACTTATCACACTATCAACGGGAATCAGTACCGTATGTCAGCCGGACGAGATCAGCTTGCCGGGTTAGGAGAATTGTGGAGACGAGCCAATGGGATCTGACGCGCCTCCTACGCTGATCTCCTACCGTGCCGGGAAGGCGCTAGTTCTCCTCGAGTGCTGGTGAATGTTGGATAGGTTTTGCCAGGTTAGAGAGTATATTTGGTTGAACTCAGGAGCTTTCGCATCTAAATCCGGAGATTCGAGGGCTGGCGGAGATAGTGGATTTCAAGATCTTTTAGGGCACTGCAAGAACTGGGATAATTGAACCTTATTCTGAGAAGTCCAGGCTTTCCCCCACTCTGGGAGGAGGGGGTGAATCACGGCGGAAAGGACTAGCTTTCGGCCATCCGCTGGGACAAATAAGCAGAGATACAACATACTAGTACAGTACCGTGCCGTGGAACGTTCGAGGTTGAAATCCTGGCATGGGAGGAAAGAAAGGTACTCTACGCTACCGGCACTTTTACAGTACAGTGCTCGTATAGAAGCGGTCTGGGACTAGTTGTGGTAGCTTTGTTTTTTTTAATAACAATATTATATCCATATATATTCCCCCTGATCAGCCTGCAATATCACAAGACAATCACCGTAGCAATGCCCCCTAATTCAACCAAGCAGGGGAATAATGAGCGAGCGAGCGGACACCAGGGTGCAGAGGTAGCGTACCGTGAACTCTATTTCCCCTCCCTGCGGATAACCGGTGCCCTGAGAAGACGGCAGCGCGGTCAATCAACCATTCATCCAACTCGAGCCGTCTTGTGACACGCTTTGATGGGGGGGGGACGGGGTACATCCTGTATCGCGGAGGCCAGCTACCCCTGCCATTGTTGGCACGAATATATAATATACACAAGTAACTCTGTACAAGCACCGTTACCCTATCTTCGCCATCCATCCATCCATCTAGCTAGCCACGATACTCTACAGAATGTACAGTAACATGTCCTGAAAAAAACTCACATGACGGATCGTCGGTTTAGTGAACGACGTTTTCATGGGAGATTTGTACGGACGGTGTGCGGCATGGTGTACGCTACACAAGTGTACATACGATTCAAAGGGGGGGGGGGGGGGTTGGGACATTTCCGTGAATGGGATAGGGGATATCTCGATCCGATGTGTCGGAAGAATTTTCCATAGTATCATAAGTTACATGTATCGTCCTCCTGTATTATAGGTGCACGGTGAATCTCGTCCATAGCTTCTCATGGGAACAGTCAAGCACTCAAAGTAACCGAATCCTGCGCTTTCCGGGTGCTTTAGCATGATGGGGAGATCTCAGTTATGTGTATGTGAGTTTGTGGATTTGGCGAAATAACTTGTATAACCACCTACCTACCTAATACTATCCGAACGGTGAATATACAGAATTGTGAAAAACATCGTCATATATATGGAAACTTGAACGGGGGAAGGATAGAAGCAATTACTGATTTTTTTTTTTTTTCCCAATTATGTATATATCTGGAGATAGGAAACCCTATCTCTACAACCCCCTCCCATGCTCTCGCTAACAGATATCATAACATACACCGGTAGCTTCAGGACGAATCATAACAAAGAGCTCCAGTTTCAATCGTGGATCACACAATCTCACTCGCAGTCCTTCTCCGACGCGAGAGGGGGATTGAGGAGGGAACAATAGAAAGAAAAAAACACCCACCATCAGAGTCTATTAACACTACTCGGTAGTCGTTTATGTAGCGGGGGCGTTTGAAGTAACGAAGGAAGAATGTAAAACGAAAAAACCAAAGGACAAACGAAAGAGGCGATGGTAAAATGCCGGTCTACCGGTCGACCGCAAAGTGAGAGAATAGATCGAGTGTTAGGATGGGTATCAGCTGTCGTGAGAAGGTCCCGGGAGCTTAGGGGCTGCATGGGAGCGGGTGGAAGCAGCCTGGACTGCCCGGTTGAGGGGAGAGTCGCCGCCTGCGGACTTGGAAAGAGAGTCTTTAAGCTCCGATACTGGTTCCCGCCCACTGGGGTCTACCAGTAGATGTGGTTGTTGGCCATTGATTGTCTGTGATATCAAAGCTAAAGTTACCACCTCTCAGTGGTATACCCACCACACCCGCCCCTATGCCCAGCGGAGGCCGGGAGGAATGCCTAGCCAACGCGATCTACTGTGTCAGGATTGATGCCATCTCGTTCAAGTAGCATCCTTACGATTCGATCATGTCCGTTAGAGAGAGCCTTCGACAGTGGTGTTTGGTTCTCACTATCTGGCGTGGCGGTGCGGACATCTCTCCGTTCCAAAAGCATCTTTACTACTCCCTCATGTCCGTACTCAGCAGCCCGCGAGAGTGGCGTTTGGCCAGATGCGGTGCCTGCCTGGTTGGGATTGACATCCCCTCGTTCTAAAAGCATCTTTACTACTCCCTCATGTCCGTTCTCAGCGGCCCACGAGAGTGGCGTTGAGCCATCTTCGGTGTTTGCCTGGTTGGGATCGACATCCCCTCGTTCCAAAAGTATCTTTACTACCCCCTCATGCCCGCTCTCAGCGGCCCACCAGAGTGGCGTTTGGCCATATTGGGTGTCTGCCTGGTTGGGATCGACATCTCTTCGTTCTAAAAGCATCTTTACTACCCTCTCATGTCCGTTCTCAGCGGCCCACGAGAGTGGCGTTTGGCCAAATGCGGTGTCTGCCTGGTTGGGATCGACATCCCCTCGTTCCAAAAGTATCTTTACTACCCCCTCATGCCCACTCTCAGCGGCCCACGAGAGTGGCGTTTGGCCATACTTGGTTTCTGCCTGGTTGGGGTCGACATCCCCTCGATTTAACAGCACCTTCACCACCTCCTCATGCCCTCTTCCCGCTGCCCATGTGAGGGCTGTACTCCCCATGCAATCAGTCGCATTAGGATCCCATTCCTTCATCTTCAATATAGCAGCAACTATCCCCACGATCCCGAGAAATGCTACTCCATGGAGTCCTGTAAATCCGATAGGCCCTCCCTTGCTGTAGAAATAACGGCCCGAGCCTCTATTTCTATTATAATGTAACAAAATTAGCTGAGCAGATATATGCTCATCAAATCTATCAAGAAGTCTTAGTGCAAGCACTTTCAAATCTTCCGTCATCCCCCTTCGTGTGTGCTCCCCCCAGTAGCAAGAAGCATATTCTAGAAATGGCATTGCTGCGGGAGCCGAGTAGAGTGTTGGCGGGAGATCTCGGACACGCTCAAAATTGAGATATGTCAAGCAAACCTCCGCAAGTATTGAGTGGGGGGTATGGAAAAGGGTTGGATCATTTGTGAGATGCTCTTGTAGAGTGTAGTGCACCAGTCGGACAGTGGACGAAGAAGCTTCGACCGTGACAAGACCTAGACAAGATGCTAGGAGTGTGCGTAATGCGGGAACGTTATCGACATCCAGACCCGTAGATCCCACCTCTACTCCCAAGGCATGACAGAGCTCCTCGGCCTGTAATGGCCTTTCCGAGTACAGCACCCACATCAGGACCTTCAGACCGAGTATTGATTTGCTTCCTTTCTGTGCCTTCAGTCGGGTTAGAGTTGCCGTGTAGGCATCGCTCAGTCCATTGCCCTTTGTCATCTCTTCAAGTTTCTTCCTTCTCTGACGAATTGTCACCTCTCCCAGAATAGTGTCGATGCTTAGCGAAACAAGGAGGAATCTACACACAATCGTGGATGAGTATTGATCAATAATTGATTGGGAACGATGAATGCTCCTACATATCAGATATCTTTTCCAGGATAACATTAATGATATCTGCCCGTAAATCATCGTTCATCGCCTCTGGATCGGTGTCCTCGCTCAACCTCATCTCCAGATAGTTCCTAATGTCCTCTGTGTTAGGACTGATGGGTATCACAGCCACCTTGCTGAAATATCTTCGAATATCTTCCCTGACATGGGGCCTCCCAGTAAGGAATATTCGCGTGTTGGGGGACTCCCGAATAATGTCTCTCAGCGACTCCAGCAGCTTTGGCAGATGCTTCGGTGGGCATTCATCTAGCGCATCAATACAGATGAAAACTTGGTGTAGCGAAGCAATAGCGATCCCCAGCATTCCCATCAGATCCGGAAGTCGTGGCCCTCTGCCACCAAATTCCGTTTTCGCTTTATGAAATGCCTCCCGTAGGTAATTCGGGTTATCCCCTCTGCCTGTCAGCTGCTTCAATATAGCTCCCATTATGTTGGTAATTGTTTGCTCTTGGTGAGCAAGGAAGTCGCAGTACAAGCCTGCAACAACGATGTTCTCCTTCCCCGCTTGATCACATAGATTGTCAATCACCAGGGAACTAGTATTTCCGATCGTCAGCAATTTTCGCTTTCTTTCAAAGAATCCCGCCACTTACCTCAGATACGTCTTGCCCACTCCCGGATTCCCGCTGCAAAACAAGACCGCCCCATCGGCTCCACCCTCACAACCCCTCCACTCCCGAAACTCGCTGGTTTCCAACAGCCAATCACCCACACCGTCAAACCGCTCGTTGCACACGCTTTGATGCCTGTTATTTGGCTCTAGAGGAGAGAGCCAACGCATAATCTGCGCATCTTCATCGGATTTGTAAATGGTTTGGTTGAAATTACTTGTTATGTTCGTGTTGCCGCAATGGGCATTGCCGTCGCCGACGCTGATTGATTGTATGTGTGTATTTTGGGCCATAGTGTTCCGCCAAAGGTGTAAGTCGAATGTAGAAATGGTAAAACAATTTGTAGGGGTGTTAGGGGAGTTTATGGAATTCTGTGAGTATAGTTGAAGAAAGCGGGGAGATGGGGCTTATTGTGTGACACTTAATATCCAATAATTTGGAGGGTACAGTACATGACTAATATGAGAACACTACAAGGGTTGCTGAGCGACTGTAAGTTGGTATTGAAATGCGTTTCAATATCAGAAATCTCCCCAGTTTTCCGTCGTAAATCTCATAGAGGGGGTTATATATGATAGGAGGTTATTGACATTTTGTGGTGAAGAGGGGACCGGGTTGGGTGGGGCTGTATTCCTTTTGGAATAAGAACCGCCCAGGATTTACTGCCGTCACGATATGTCCTGCGAGTTCACCGTTACTGCCTATGCGACTATGTTCCTCCTGATGTCTAGTAGATCTTACACCTCCAGTTTCCCGACTATACTGTTGAATGACGGAGATGGAGAAGGATGGAACTTAGTTCATTCAATAGAGGATAGGCTCTACTCTAGATACGGAGGAACAAATATGACAGGAAACGTCACACACACCACAACACGGAGCAATGCCCACTGACACTGTTGGAGATTCGTCATTCTCAGCTGCTCACCACATACATATTTGCCCATTCGCGGAGTCACATGAAACGGAACCACTATGATCCGCTACACATCCTTCCTCACCAGCGGTTTCACTATAGTTAGCTTCATACATGGCCAAACATCCACCCTGCATACATAGTGCGACTACCACAAACACCGAATCACCTTTTAAACAACAAAGGATTACGGCAGCGATTCAGACAATATTGACTTAGGCAAGGCAAAGATGTAAAGATAAAATTCAATATCCTAACTGGAGAAATATTCTCACAAAGAACAACGATAGTGTATAAAAAAAGGGAAAGACTGATATGACCCAAATGCGAGTGATGGAGGAAAGAGAGACAGATTGGATTGGATTGCGAACGAAAACAACTAACAAGGGAAAACAAGCTGCCTTTTATCCTTCCTGAGATCATATTGATCTGCTCCCACATACTTCCAGTGTATGCCGTGTTCTCTATCACGTTCAGTCTCACTATTGCCCATTGTGCCGCTTTGGCCGAGGGTATGCTCTGGCCGAGGATATTCGGTATTTCCATATGATAGGGGTAACGCCCTAACATGGAGTTGTCGCAGGTATCGTCGCGGATGTTGTTGCATATGGTGTTTGATGTGTAGGGCTAGCCAGTAGTCAAACATCGAGGCGTCGGAGTAGTTGATACCAAGAGGGTTAGGGTTGTGTGGTCGTTGCCGTAAGGGAAATGTGCGGTGAGCAGCCAAGAACACTTCCGTCCAACATCACCTACCATGAAATGCGAGCAGTGCTGATGCTGAACAACAACCATATCCTCGGTCACCTTGGATAGAATTCAGCACTGCATGATGAAAGGAAGTAGAGCGGAACAATCTCATGTGAGATTAGGCATGCGCAGGAAGCATGCGAGGACAGGAGGGTTTCTCTGGAGGAGGATATAAGGCTGTCTTGTTTTCCGCTTGTTCACTTGTTTTCATATCAGTTCATCATCACATTCATTCGTTATTTAGTTAGACGATTTCCTATTACTTTGTTACACTTTTGTTCTTTACTTCTCTATTCTCTTATTACAACATCCCTACTCGTACCAATAAAGGTTTGGTGTCCTTTGGTCCACAAGGATTAGATCTGCTGTGCCCCACCACAAATTAGTTGTTTAAAAGACACATACACCAACTAAGATAGAGTGGTTTCCCGTACCCCATAGTACTCAACGTATACACCATTACAGGCCAGCCATCGGAACCTAAATGGAGATAGCGTCTGGGTTGTGTGTAGGCCTGGGGGGTATGGTATGGTGGGCTGATGGGATAGCAATGTAGGTGCGAGAAACAAGGAGGATTTAGACGCCATAGCGACTTGGTGGAGGCCTGAGACTTTGTTATTGCACAATAAGGGACTGGGCAGTGGGGAGGATGGGATTTCGGGCTTGAGAGTTGTCGGCGATCAGCCTGCGGGAACGACTTAGAATGGTAGTGCTATTATAACAGTAAATCAAAAGGGTTAAAATTAGAATTAAATAACAAAACCAGGGACTAAAGGGGGCAGTACTAGTTAGTTACCGGTAAGTGTGCGATGTTGCAGGTTGATCGTGAAAGCTCCGGGAGTCTGACGGATGGTTCAGGAGCGTGTTAGATTGTTTTAGACATGTCTTTCCTTAGTTATCGCAGGAATGTACGGAGGAATGGGGGGTATGCGTGGAGACACAGAGATAGGCGTGGTGATCCATGGAAGCATCAGGATGTATTGATTATGTTTTGTTTATACACCTGTCTTTAGTGTTGGTTCAGAGAGTGTCGATTCCGCTGACTGTACCGCTGCGCTACCGGTTTTTGCCGAGTGTCTCAAGAGAAGGGTAGTGACTTATGACCGGAAAGAAGGATACTATAAAGTGATAGGCACGCACGTGCCCTAGCCAGTAAGTTTTTAACTATTGCCCAAGACCATCCAATACTCGTACGGGTAGTTCGAGCAGCCAGGTGGTATATTTCCGGACGAAACTCTTATCAGTGGCAGTCAGGTCCCTTCCGGATGTTTTTTGAGTTCCTTTTCCCTTCCCCACATACTGTACACTTCCAAATCCGTTTACTCGTTGGTGAGGGGAAGAATGAGGATGCAATGTAGAATAATTGACTTGTGCATTGGCACTATTTCTGGGGGGCGTCGGGGAAAAGAAATTACGATTGATTGAGTGAGTTGAGAATTTTCGCCAAGTATTTTAGGAATGCGAGACATGGTTCTTGGGCACTTGGACTGAGCTATTGTATTTACCGTGATCTTTTGGAATACACTTGCAAGTGTGCGGGTGCCCGAATGTTGGGCAATAGCGGTTAACTGGCCCAGAGGTAGAGTGAGCGGGATAGAACGGGACTTGACCGTTATGGAGTATCTGTCGGTACAATCATGAACCCCCTTATCATAGTCCAAACTGACTGTGAAGACGGGAATATATATCAACCCTCTCTATCCTTCGATGGATCACTAGACATATCAATTTGCCCTCCATGCATATCCCCATTACCTTGAGTCCTCTCGTGATAAGAAAAGTGAAATATGCCTGGAGGATGCTCTTCGTGAACCACCGCAGCTTCGGGATAAAAGTAACCTCCTAGAATAATCTTGCGACCCCCACGAACTACCACTCGCTATCCCCCTCTTATCATATCCAACGCCAAAGGCCTTTGGGCGTCATCAGTAATCTGTGGTCCACCCCCCGGGACCTGTCTCGCTCACAACTAGACCTACTTTTTCTCTTTTTTTCTCTTTTTCTTTTTTCTTTTCATCGTTGATATTCTAGTTGAGATTACCAATTTGCCGTTATACACCGGTGGTCAGTATTTATGATTTATGATTTCACTTCATCTGTTGAGGATTTTTATGTTTTGTTCAAAAATACATAAAATATAATATTGTTAACCTCAGCCTAGATGAAAGGGGCACAAATCTACCTAACTACGGTAGCAGGATATATCTGCTGCCACAGTAGCAACACTTGAAATACCTAGTTGCAACTCAATAAACGCAGGTGTTCGAGGGCCAGTTGACTCTGTGCAATTGATTAATGGGAGCCTGAAGATGGTTCGATTTCCCTCATGATGGGTCATTATCAGACAATCAATTACTGCGCAGTGCATAATTAGAGGAAATAAATAATGATGGCTACTAGGGGGAGTATAATGGAGAAATTTTTTAAAAGGGAATTTAATCTAAGGGTCCGCCAATCAATGTTTTGATACCCTGCCCATTGCGCACTTGCTCGAAAGCCCTTTCGGCGTCTTCAAATTTGACCCTCCCCGTGATCAGGTCCTTCACCGAGACCTTTCCACTAGCAATCAATTCCACAGCGAGTCTATAGTCGCCGGGACCGTACCTGAAGCTACCCTTCAGGGTAATCTCCTTGGCACAGAGCTTCAAGATGGGGAAAGCGATCTCAGCGGCGCCCATACCAACCTGCACGAAAGTTCCCCCGGTGCGGAGGATGTGCACGCACGTGTTTATGCTGGGGGTAGCGCCGCTAGCGTCGATAGCGACGTCGGCCCCAAACACAAGATCAAAGCGCTTGATCATCTCAGCGGCGTTGACGTTGGGGTCCTCGGAGTGCATCGCGTTGAACGTTCCCGTTGCAGCGTACCTCTCCGCAAATTCCAACCTCGAGTCGACGATGTCCACCACTATGACCTTCGTTGCGCCAAATGCCTTGGCGACACTGCAGCATAGCAGTCCTACCGGTCCCGCGCCAAACACGATTACCGAGTTGCCCGGCCTGATGTCCGCTTGCCGGACCACGTGCACCCCTACAGCTAGTGGCTCCACGAGCGCGCCCTCGTCGAGACTTACACACTCCGGAAGCTTCACGCAGAAGTCCTCCGGGAGGATGTAGTACTTTGCCAACGTCCCATCGTATGGCGGTGTCGCAGCGAATTTCATGTCTTTGCAGAGGTTGTACTTCCCCGCCTTGCAAAAGGGGCAGGAGCGGCAGGGGACGCCGGGCTCGAGGGCTACACGGTCATTGGGCTTTAGTGAGGTTACTTTGGGTCCTGTTTCTACCACCGTGCCGGCGGATTCGTGGCCGAGCACCATGGGGGCTTCGACAATGAAGTCGCCGATGTGGCCGTGTTGCCAGTAGTGGACCTGGGGTTTGTTTTTAGATTTTCCCCATTCCTTCAACAAAAGGGCAGAAGAGGAGGGCTAGAAGGGGCTTACATCCGAACCGCAGATCCCAGTAACGTTCACGCGGATGAGTACGTCAGTTGGGTTTTGAATCTTTGGCACCGGGCGATCCTCAAAGGTAACGTCTTTGATGGACCTCAACACAAAGGAGGGGTTCTTTGAAGACATTTTTCTGACAAACTGCGAAAAAGATAGAGTAGAGATGGGAAAGCAGATTATGAGTGGATACGAGACTTATCAATGAGAGAGGGTAAAAAGTCCCAGCTCGTGTGCACTGGCTGAATAGAAGAAGGTGAGGAGGGGAGAAGAGAGGAAGCAAGACGTGCTAATTGTTCTGGGTCTTGGTTGGCCATCAATTCTATCATGAAGTCTCCCTCTCTCTCCTGAATGTCGCTTTTTGTTGATGCAAGCCCTCATCATAGCTTATTAGTTTAGCCTAAATTTTATGCCTAGCCTAGATAAGTACGCATAATTGTAGGATTGGGTAGAACACGAAACCCTAACCTTTTGTTTTCTATTGTGAGTTTGGAATCTAAGCTGTGAAGGACAACGTAGAATTTACCACTGGCCCAGCTCGGGGAGAATGTAATTTAGGCTGGCGGTTCAGTCTCATGGGGGGGTACAAGAGGGTTGCCGGAGATCTGCGTCGGAATCTGGAGTTGTGTGTGAGTGATCGGTTTGTGAAGATACTACTTGTAATTGAGCAGAAGGCTGGTTAAATAAACGGCGGGCATTAGTCATGGGAAAGTCGTCTCATATTGCACTCGAGCACCCGTACAGTGCAAGTATATGCAAGTGCTGTGCTTTTCGGATACTGCGCCCAACTTGGCCCAACCCTTCCCTATCAGGTTACAAGTACTCCTATGCAGGCCGAGTAATAGACTACAGGTAGCTGACTGGGTAGCAAGCAGTGCGAGTCAGCCAGCGTTTTTCATTCAGGTCGAGTGCCCAAGTACGATACTCGTATCCCCTGCGAGGGAGGCGGTGGAGCTCGCTACCCTCTCAAGTAGCCTATGATGAATCCTGATTACGAGCTGCACCAAGAGAAAAACCATAACTGTAAAGTAGATATCAATATCATTCCACAAACTCTAGTACCACTTGCTAGTATCATGCTTCAACCCCCCCAAGCCCATGCACCTATCATCCTTGGATACAATACCACCAGAAGCTTGGAATCTGAGTTTTTCCTTTTTCCAATCGCACACAATTGTTTTGGAATAAGCTTGACAGTAGCGCCTTTGGGGCCGTCTATAATCGTACCTCCTTCCTACTTGAATGATAATAGGGATAATAGGGGCATTCAAATTTAAGAAAGATGATTTTCAGTAACGAGTACTCGAGAAGACAAGGGAAGGTGTATTTGGTTACTTCATTGTGTTGGCCGGTAGCATTCTCACCTTTCTGGTGACCAGGGAGGGGTAAAGCGTGTGGATTTCACGGGTGCAGAAAAATCTTGAAACCAAGTGACCTTTCTTGTAAAGATAGTTGATAAAATAGTTCTAGTGTAGGATGCGAGCTTTCAATACTGTACTTGTTCTTGATTTTTCCCTTCGCTTGATATGATATCACTTCTGAGTTCTAGTAGAGTTCTGTTACCAGAATTGCGTGGCCGCCACCGATCTCTTGACCTCCGTCCATACCCGAAAAAAATAGTATTGTAGAGCAAGTTAACTGTTTTTGTATGCGCCAAGTTTATAGGAAACGGCGAATTGAACTGAAGAAAGTACAGTAACTGTTTTTCCAATTCTTTTAACTTTGAACACCACTACCGTAGTGAAAAATGTCCTTAATTTCGAACACCCTCACTCCAACTCTACCCTACGATAAGTACCGGAGCGTAACATCGTCACCCTTTGCCAACCCCTTGACCCCAATCCTGACCGTCTCATCAGGTACTAAATCCACGCAATTATCTTCAAACGCAATACCTTTTTTTGTGCACTCCACCGCAACGCCCTTAACGGGAACATCTGTGGATAAGCGCACGCAGCCGTCTTCTACGCTGACTTTGAGGGATTTGGGGATTTGAAGGTTTAGGTATCTGTCCCTTGTTAGCAACAAGAAGTGGGTGGGAAGGGTGGTTACTTTAGGGGTTCGAAAAAGCCGATTCTTCGAGCAAGAGTGCTTCCGTCCTTGTCGATTAGGTACGCTGCCAAGACGATGTCCCGGTGCGAGTCGGGTTTTCCGTCCCACCCTGGGATGCGTATATCTGCGATCTCCATAGACCGGTTGCTCTCTAGAGCTACGTCGTCTTTCAGCGTATTCTCGGCGACCTTGTCCCCACAAAGGTGAAAAGCCCTAATAACCACGCTGGCACCCTTAGTCTCCTCGGTTACGAAACTTCCGATCCAAACCTGCACTCTCTCGTCCACGTTGGTGTACGCATTCGTGTACTTGTCTTTGGGGGTATTGACCTGCACCCTCTTCATGCCAATTGTGAATTTCTCCAGCTCGCGCTTAACCGCAAAATAGGCATGTTTGGGTCGAAGATGGTAGTCTACAATCGCCCAGCTAGTCACCGGCCAGCAGTCGTTGATTTGCCAAACCAGTGCTCCAGCGACGTACTCCTTCCCGGGGCCTTGCCACTGGCGGCGCCAGAGACGGTATGCGGTTGAGAGGCACTCGGCCTGCATTAATTGCGTTGCATAGATGTATTGCTCTATTGGGGAGAATGTATAGCGGATATTTTCTACCAGGTAGAGGGCTATGCGGCGCTCGTGCCCGGTGGCTTTGTTGTGGTGGTCTATGGTCGAACTCTGTGGATAGCGGTCTTTGGAGTCTTTGGGAAGGTAGGAGTCGATTGTCTTGATATCGGGGAAAGCCTCCATCCCGAATTCACTAACGAAGCGCCCGGCGAGGGTGTCGAACTCTTGATATCTGTTTTGGTTTCCATGCCAGACTGGTTTCGTTAGCAGGGAACCTGAGAAGCAGGGGAGTAGGGAGTCCTGCCGTTCCACTGATGGATATCACCAGCCGTTTTATCTGCGCTATCACCCTTTCCGGGTGTGAAGGGACTTCCAGGATGATATGGTGCACCACCTCCGTACCCTACAACCACTTCTGGTAATATCTTCTCGTAAATATACCTCGCGGGGAATCCAGTTTTGAGCCAGTTATCCGGGTCCTTGTCCTCGTGCTTGTATCCAAGTTGGTTCGGCTGGCCCTCAATATATGCATAGTCTTCGTTATTTCCTGCCCAGATGACGATCGAGGGATGGTGCCTAAGCTTCATGACGGTATCGATAGCTTCTTTCCGGACGTTCTCGCGGAACTCGGGGATTATGGCTGGGTAGTTACCGCAGGCGAAAGCAAAGTCCTGCCAGACAAGGATGCCGAGTTTGTCGCATGTTTCGTAGAAGATTTGTTCTTCGTAGATACCGCCGGCCCATACTCTAAGCCATTGGATATCGCCCTGGTCAGTAATTCCTTACTCTTACTATTTGTGAAGGGGGGGAGGTCACCTAACCATGACCTGGTTCCCGGCCGCAAGCAGCCCCAACCATTCCTGATATTTCTCATCGGTAATCCTGGGGATAAAGTTATCCGCTGGAATCCAATTACTTCCACCGCAGAATATCGAAACATTGTTAATCTCGAACAGGAACGTCTCCCCCTTCTGTTCCGGGTCGTCAAACTTCCTTCGGATCAATTGCGATCTCCGGATACCGAGAGTCTTTGAAAGTTTATCGATGCGATCCCCGAGGGTGGCGCTGAGTCTGTACAATGGCTGTGCGCCATACCCATGCGGGAACCATAGCTCTGGGTCGGTGATTTCAAACCTGGCCTCTGTAATTGCTCCGTTCCCGCTCTTGAACCTCGATACAGAAGCGGTTGATGGAGAGATCTTCACTCCGGAGGCGGAAGTCAATGCGAAGACAACCTCACTGCAGGGACCCTCAACCTCGGCTGTCGCAGTGATAATAACGTCATGTAGACTCGAAGGAACGTGAATGGTGAAATAGAGCTCGGCAATGCGACTGTTGTATGACTCGAGGTAGACTGGTCTCCAGGGCCCGCAAGTAAGCAATGTCGGGCCCCAATCCCATCCCTAACTCGGTAAATCGATTGTCCCCAAGCAGCGCGAGTCGGACAGTGAGTGGGGGAAACAAACATAATGATACTGCGCCTTCCTCACCGCAAGCCGGCTAGCATCCCCGTTCCAGCATCCCCAATTATGCCCCGGCCACTCCTCAACAATCTTCTTTCCCACTAAAAACGCACTATCAAACTCAATCTCCAGCTCATTCTCCCCCTCCCCTTCCTCGCCGCCGCCATCCTTTTTCAAAATCCCGGAGACATCCACCCGATGAGTAACAAACATATTATCGCTCCTCAAAACCTCACTGCCATTAACCCTGACGATGGCATAGGTATCCAACCCCTCGAGCACGAGCACATGCCTCTCCCCCCCCAGCACCCAGTGCGCCCCCGGCGTTGCGAAGCTCGTCTTGTAGACCCAACCCTTCTCCCCCACCCACTGCACGTTCACTTCCTGCTTCGCGAAGAATGGGTCCGGGATGAGCCCGTGGTGGAGGAGGTCTAGGTGCACGTTTGTTGGGAATTGAGAGACTGGGCGAAATTGTGCTAGTTCAGAGGGTGCGGGGGATGCCTGCCTGAAGACCCAGTTCTCGTGGATTAAGGTTGTCTTTTTCGACATTTTCGCTTTCGCCGGGACAGCTGCGGGGACGGCGGATGGGGGGCGCCGGAGGGATGGTGGGGTTTCCGGTTGTTGTCTGGGGATCGTGGTACACGTGACAGGAGGTGTCGGTTTATGTAATCGTTCAATATAATTTATTATCCCGGTAACAGTCCAGGTTCTTGCTCCTGACGGATAGGATGAAGTGAGGAGTTCTCAAGAAAGTAATAATGAAAGGTAGAGAGAGGGGGGGGGGGGTGGAGGATATGCAGGAGCCACTAATAGATAGAAAGCACAAGTACAAGTAAACAATAATTTAGTTTGCGGGAAATCCCACCCTACTGTACTACAGCCTGAGAATCAATACTTTCCTATATACTAGGACCGGAAAACAAGTGGGAATTTGAAGTCTTATATTAAATGTTAACTATTTTGATAGTCTATGTCAGTGAAAACTCACAAGACTGATCACAAGATCAGCTACTGGTATGCCTAAGCTTGGATATTTGCAGAAGGATGGTAATATCCAAATTCTGCTCAAAATTAAAACTTGAAAATTATTACAGTTTAGAATATTTGACATGCCTTTACTATACCAAAGAAGAGAAAGGTTTGATCTTTCTCTGTTAACAGTCTAACTAGAGAGTGTTTGATCACTGCAGTAATCTAATAGAGTTTTCACTATCAAATGGAGCTGTGTAAAATTTTAACTATTTCCAGTATTTAAACTTATCAAAAAATCAGTTAGAAGGTATTTATATCTGAGAGCTACTAGTACTAGTATAGTATAATTACTTAAAAGCATGAAAAAAACTCCTTCTGAATGATATTACAAAGGAGAACTTGAAGTATCTTTACTTTATACTCTCTTCTTAACATAAGATAAAAGATAACTAGTATCTAGTTATCTGAATTGATAGATGTTAATTTTTTAGACTTTTTAGTAGTTATTGCTATTGGAAATGACTGAAAACCATAGATGCTACTTGACATACCAGTACTCACAATCCATCTACTAGTAGCATAGTTAAAACCTGCCTAACACGTTTAAAACATGCTTGATATATACCAACCACACTCAATATATATAATATCATAATTTTCCCTGTTCTCTGTACCATATTTATTACCATTTTTTTTGATTACCATATATTATTACTTACTCCTTCATTCATATATTTTTATTTGTTAGCTTTACTCAGGTAGCGACTTTAGCACTGCACTTTAAAAAAAGTACGTCTAATAGAAATGAGAAAGATGGGATTAGAAGAATCTGGAGGGCTTAGCCAGTATTCTTTACCATGTTTTTTTTTTTTTTTGTACTTCTATTAGATGCAAGAAATCATGTACAGGAAAGAGAAACTTCTATGGACAATCAGAGATAATAGTAAATAGGTGTAGGAGTTGATACAATAGCAGGAAGATAGTTGATTGGTTATTTATTATATTACTGTCTTGTTCTATCAGTTAGTTGAACTAGTTGTAGAGTGCAAGCAAAAAATTAAGGAACTTGCTTGTATGTGAACTTTCCCCACGATTCTTTAGTCTTTACAATGGTGTTTCATCTTATAGCTTCATTTCAGTTTTACCTGCAGTTACGATCAGAATTCTCCCAATAAAACCTTTTGTAAAGACAGTTAGTATCATACTTAAGAGAATCACACCATGCCCCTCTGGTGATCAAATAGGCAGATTTTCTAAGGGACTGATATGAAAACACAGGTTTGCTACTTGCGCTCTGAAGACCAAGCACGGTATAAGACCCCGGAATGGTGAGATCGTATAGGGGGCTTTTGGCCACTCCTAGTTTTTGACCACCTTGGTACAACAGCTGAATACAAAATATTTCTAATCTACAGCTTCCATTCAAATATACAGGCTTCTATTTGCTGCTTTTGAAAAGCTTTAGAGTTATTTAATGCTTCCTCCACTGCAGATGGCTGCTTAGCCTTTGCCAGAGCCTTTTTTTCAACAATTTTAATTTTCTCTGCCTCAGCTACTGTGTTCCTTTTCTGCCTCCTCCAATAACCTCTTTATACTTTCCATATTTGCAAAGACAGTATTGGGGTCAAGAACAACCTACTTCTTCTTTTTTTTACTTTCTAACTTATCAATCTGAAGTTTTAGGTATTGGTTGGTTGTATTAGGCGGACACAATCTGATAGACTTCAGAATTGTCTAGGCAAATCTAAAATTCGTTTCTGTAGACGGAGATTGTCTAGGAAGGCTCGAGTTTACTCTTTTCGTTTATGACTAAGAGCAAAGTAAATTTTGTAAAGTAAAATAGAATCGTAAAAACAATATTATATTGTTAAGATCTCTTCTCCATTGCTTGATAATGTCTAAAGCTTAGAAGGTACTTTGATATTTATATTCCACATCTGAGTATTTGCGGACTACATCTATTTATCATACTACTATGTACCTTTCAGATTATAACTCACAATGTTAGGTATTCTTGAAAGGTGCGAATACCTGGAGACCCTGAAAATTACCACACCCTCTTTGCTAATTATGATATAACTAACTCAGAATCATACTGTTTCCAATAGTAGTTATCCAATCTTCAGAGTCTTTAGACTTGTAGTCTAGTTCTCAAGTTGAACTGAGTTGGCTCCAATTGTCTTCATTATTGATGAAATAATCAGTTTTATCTGAGGGTTATATCTGTGAAGGTAGTCGTAATCATAATCCTTTTTTGGTCACCTGACTTTAAACTACCATGACTCT